GTGACAAAACCATAATCCTTCTGGGAGAATGTACAGTGGACAGATGAGACAAAAGTAGAGCTTTTTGGTCAAGGACATCATGGCACTGTTTACAGAAAAAGAAATGAGGCATTCAAAGAACAGAACACAGTCCCTACAGTCAAACATGGGGAGGTTCAAAATATATTTTGGGGTTGCTTTGCTGCTTCTGGCACTGGATGCCTTGACTGTGTGAACAGTATCATGAAATCTGATGATTACTGAAGAATTCTGGTGCACAATGTAGTGGCCAGTGTCACAAAGCTGCATCTCCACCAGAGGTCATGGGTCTTCCAGCAGGACAATGACCCAAAACACACTTCAAAAAGCACTCGGTTACAAACAAGGTGCTGGAGAGTTCCGAAATGGCCAGAAGTGAGTCCGGCTCTGAATCCCATAGAACACCTGTGGAGAGATCTCAAAACAACAATTGGGAGAAGGCATCCTTCAAATCTGAAGGCCCTGGAGCAGTTCACAAAAGAAGAGTGGTCCAAAATTCCAGTAGAGAGGTGTAAGAAACTCATTCATGGCTACAGGAAGCAATTGATTTCACTAAGTTTTTCCAAAGCCGGTGCTACCAAATATTAAATTAAGGGTGCCAATAATTTTGGCCAGTGCATTTTGGGAATTCTGTGTGGGACTGTATCAGATTTGACTTTTCTTCTGTTTTTTGTTTTTTGTTTTTTGTTCCAACACAAACCAAAGAAATGAACATGTGAGTACTAAAACATTTGCAATTGCAACAATCTTCTGAGAGAAGGGTTGCGTTTTCTTTTTTTTTTAAATAATATTTTATTTTTAAACTACTAGGGATAGGGTAGGGAATACAAAAGGTGAAAGGAGGTGGAAGGGATGGAAAAGGGGTTTTAAGGATAGGAGAACACAGAATATACAATCATCCAATCTATTCACATAAAGTATAAAAGCATCCAACAATCTATTGATTTTTCAATAAAAAATCAACTTTCTACTTCTTTTTTTAACTGTTTGACTACCCTCTAGCTTTCAACTGACAATTATGTTTTGGTTTGAATCTAAGTTATTCCAACACTATCAGGAAACCGAGACCAATTGTAGAATTATATCCCCACTTTCAATTTCCTTCTGTCTTGGACATACATTCAGCATGCCTGAAAAAGTATACATTTCAGTCACTTGCCATATTTTCTCAACATGTTTCTTTTGTTTCCATGGTCCTGTTTTCTTCCAGTTTTTGGAAGAGAAGGACGAATCCAGGACAGTAATCCAATTTTTAACCTCAAATTTTCTGACTGTTGTAGCTAAATAGCTTACAGGGTAATACTTAATTCCATCCATGTTACCTGGCATCGCACTCAATAAAGACAGTTCTGGAGTTAATACAGGTTCCTTTAACTGTTGTTTAACATCTGATGATTTCTCTTCCATCAAATCTTCCATCTGGCTGAGACGCTCATTTACCTGTTATTATTATCATTTGCATGGTAACCTGCCATTCTTTATCTGACAAAGTCCCCAACAGTTGATATTGAAATTTTTCGGGGGCCATTTCCATCTTTCCAATGAGTATGATCTGTGCAAATGGCTTTTAACTGAAATAATATCAGCTGTAGGTCTGACGGCAATTTTTAGAATATACATTTTAATTGCATTTTAATTGTTTTGCCCTTTTATTTTGCCTTTTTATTGTATTTTAAATGCTGTAAGCCGCCCAGAGACCTTCGGGTAGTGTGGGCGGCATATGTTAAATAAATAAAATAAAATAAAATAAATACATAAATGATACTCTTTAGTTTCCACTATTTTATCAACAAACCAAACCCATCATCATCAACCTCCCCTGGATACTTCCTCTCCTCCTTACCCAGGTATTATAATATATAAATCAGCTTTTAGCCCAATAATTTAAATTACAACCATGGCAGTATTATCAGAGTCCCACACAGTCCAGACAAGAAAAAATCCAGTCTAAACAGCAGACACAGGAAGTCAGTCTCTCCAATAGATATTATAAAATCCGTCAGACTTCAATCCTGATTTTCCTAGCTCCTCAGTCTATCCAGTTGCATTCGTCTTGCTGATGATTTCGTCCGTTTTCTTACTTCCAAAAATGTATTCCTCCTTCTAAAGCCCAGCAAGGTTCTGTTATCAAAGTGCCATTCATCAAACTCCTCAGTCTATTCAGTTACGTTCATCTCCCTGGTGATTCACAGTCTGTTTTCTTCGTTCCAAAAGCTTGTTTCTCCTTCTCTGAAGACCCAGCACGATTTTGCTATCAAAGTTCCACACAATCTAGGGAGAAAGATCCAGGCTAAACAACATTCACAAAAGTTCAGTCCCTTAAAGCCTGTCCAGTGATATTTTCTCTGGGATTTTTTCCAGAAGCACAAGATTTTTTCTGTCTCACTGTTCTCTCAGTTCGACCTTGAGCCAGCCTGCTGTTTAAAAGTCAGTTTTGTTTCGTTTTGAAGGAGCAGGCTGGCAAGCAAGACTCACCGCTCCTTATCTTCTTTCGGTCAAATGTTTTCACTCTAATTTATTTTTCATCTTAATGAGTTTATTCATAAATCAAAAGCTTCCACTTACTTTGTTATTGTACATTTTCGGCCGTGTTTCTTGTTCTCCTCTCCTTGAAGGGTGGGGGTGGAGTTACTCAGAGCTATTTCTTGTTCTCCTGTCCTCGAAGGGTGGGGGTGGAGTTACTCAGAGCTAAATCTGCCAAGATGGCTCCCGTCTCCGATCTGTGCTAGGGTGAATTTTCAGAGGGAAGAAAAATCAGGTTGCTGCCCAATCTTCTTCCTTCTGGGGCTCACCAACTGCCTCAGAGAGACCTCTCCTGGTCTCCCCTTCAATCCCCCATTTTCTAGAGGGACCAGAAGGGTTTCTTTTTGTGACAGAATTGCAAGGGTGCCAATAGTTTTGGCCATGACTGTACCTGCAGTATTTACAATATTCTATCATTATCTCACTCTTCCTTAAAGGAAGCTTGAAGAAACCTAGGCCACTCTATCCTTACAAGTAATAACAGATTATGCCAGAAAGCCCTTCTCTTGGTCCGCCACCTTCACAGGTGTGTTTGATGGATACAGTGGAGAAGGCATTCTCTTGTTGCTGCTCCCAGACCCTGGAACTGTCTCCCACAAGTGGCTAGGCTGGGCCCCATCTTTGCTCTCTTTCTGCAAGCAGGGGAAGACATTTCTCTTCAGGCAGGCTTTCCCTGAGTGACTGGCTGCCTGAGTGCGGCTTTTAAATGGACTGTTATATCCTCCACCTTTGAATGTGTTTTGGTGTTGCTTATGTTTTTTGTATGGTATTTGTTTGATCTTTTCTAGTGTCTGTATATTCTGTTGCTAGCTTTAATACTGTTTTAATGATGTAAACTGCCTTGTTTCCTTTTAAGGAGAAAAGTGGGCTAAAAATATTTTAAATACATAAATAGGAGCACCCAAATCTGCGTGTCCTTTTAAGGAGAAAAGTGAGCTAAAAATATTTTAAATACATAAATAGGAGCACACAAATCTGCCTAACCAGCAAAGAAAGATTCTCAGAGGTTGCAGGCACATGCTTCAAGCCATTATTCATGCACAGCCCAAGAATCGTCGGGGTGGGACTCCTTATTTGGTGGCTAGTAATGGAATGAATGTCACAAATTTTCTGATACTATACAGGATTCCACCCACTCAAGAAAGGATAAGGTGGACCAAAAGCCTGGCACAAGAACAGGATCATACCTACATTCCTGACTCGTCTTTCAGTACTGCTTGTTCAATATGTTTGCTCTCCAGCTGGGCCAAAGAGATGCAAACTATCCACAATGGGATGTAGAGGACATGTGGCATATGTACCATCTCATCGCTTTGGATCTGTCATACCTTTGGTCACTGTCATTTTACTTCATGTTTCTGTTTTCCCTCAAAGTAGTCTTAAAAATCTCAAGGATACAAAACCAAGCAGTAGAAAAATCATAACCAAAATGAAATGGAGTAGGAATGGATGGGCAGGGGAGGTTATTACCTAGAATTGGCAGCCTTAAGGTCACAGAAGTGGGTGAGCAAAGCTTTCACTACATCATTACACACAACTTTAACTACATCAATGTGATTGAGTCGGTGTTGCAGCTGCTTGGCAACTTCCCAGAAGTCTTCAGATAGCAGGTGGTTCAGCCGTCCCTCGTCTCTGCTGAGGTGCCCATACCAAGACAAAATGTAATCTCTGTAGCTGTAGTCGAACACTGGAATAAAAGCAACACCAAAGATGAAGTTGAGCCAGGGAGGAGCTTTCCAAAATAGTAGACTTATGAACAATCAATGCCTGAAAATTCTGCCTCTTTCCTCGTTTACTTCCTCTTTCCTTAACAAAAAATCTGATAAGAGCATCTCTACTGTTGAGTTAACCACTTTGGTCATTCAATTATCACTAGCATTACAATTAAAATATAAGTGCAAATAGAAATATGTGCACCTGCAGTATTAGCTTGACAAATTAAGAAGTACAAATACAGTGTTAGCTAGCAAATTAAAAAATACAAATACATTCATTCATAAAATACTGACTTAGAAACAAAGTACAAATTAAAATGCACATGCCTTTTTTAAAAAATCAAATCCTTTCAATTAACCTTACAGGTCTGTTTCTGCCAATTTGTTTATCAGCTGAACAGGTGTTCAGAGCTTCCCAACCCCACCTCTTCCAGGTGGTGCCCACTCAGAGGCCCTGGCTTCCATGCCCCTCCTCCCTCAGGCGCTGCCTCTGAGTGGGTGCCCACCCAGATGAGGTGGGGTTGGGAAGGGCTGAACACCTGTTTAGCCGATAAACAAACTGGCAGAAACAAACTGGTGGTTTATGCTCATCTCTGTTCAGAAGCTAAAGCCAGTATTAAGCAAACCTTTTCATAATGGAGCAAAATGTAAATCCAGTACTGAATGGTGTGATGGGCGGTGTAGAGAGAAGAAATGAGAACTAAATAATTTAACTGAAAAATTGAAACAAAATTCTAATGGTCTTCATTAGATCTCTTACAAACTTAAAAGAGACAAAAACATTGTTAATGAAATAACAGTGAGAACTAGTGGCAGTGCAGAAGGATGCTGCTAAATTTGGGGCATTTGTGTCACAAAAATCTACACATCCAAAACTTGATGTTGATGGATAGACAGTGATAAATGGGGAGAATTTTTTGACCAAAAAACAAACCAGAACAAACTGTTCATGGCCACCTCTACTTCTGAAAATGAACATAACTTTCCAGTACTTCCACTTCTTCCTTCAGCAACTTCTTCCTCCAAACAATCAATGTAGGGCTATATAATAGATTTGCTATATTAGTTTGCACCTTTGAATCCCATCTGCACCTGCACTGGCTTTGACCGATATATGCAGCTAAAAATATGTCTTTTAACTGAAATGATGCTCCAGCATCAATCATTTCTATAAGCCAAGACTGTTGACCACCTTTCAGGTCCTTCCGCCATTGAGAACCACTGGACTTCTGAGGATGACAACAGGGTAAAATTTACCACACTTCCTCCTTTCCAACAGGAGAGAATGAATTTCCCTTCTGGATCACCCTGTTCTGAGCCATTGCAAATAACTAGTTGATATTTACAAATAATATGAAACAACTTTAAACCTGATTCATTAACGCACTTGTCCCTTGATTTCTTGGGAGGGAAATCTTCTAAATCTTCACTCAACAGATCCATTACTTCTATTATAACAGCATTAGTGCCTCCAATTCTAGAACTGAAATCTCCTAATATAAATCACTGATGTTTGAGAGTATACTTCTGTAATTTTCTCTAACTGGGAAACTAATAAAATTCAAATATTGTCACCATCTACTAAGCTATTACCTAGAATATAAAAGTTAATATAAATTAAGCCCAAATCAGCAAGGTTATGTAGATGGACTACCTGAACGTATTGGGAGAGTACAGAAAGCTCTTCAACTTCCACATTTAAATTTGAAGATAACAAATACCATTCCACCTTTACTTCTTCCTTTATTGTTAACTCTAATGGCAGGGGAAAATAGGAAGAAAACCCTTGAATGGAAATTTCTTTTCTACAGGTTTCTCAAAAACAAATTATGTGGAATTATTTAATGGATTCTATAAATATGTTATCCATCAACTTACTGAACCATCCTGCACTACTCCAAGAAATTAATCTAGTAGGACTGCATTCTAAATCAATTAGCTTCCCATCATGTTAGTGTATATTCTGGCATTCAGTTCCACCTCCAAGACTGATCGGTTCTCTGCAACCATAATTAACTTCCTTCTCTTTTATCTGTTTTGGATCACCATTTTGCCACTGATTCCTAGCAATAGACATCCTCTTAGAATATTAATATATTCAGCTACACTTTTATACTTTTTATTCTCTCCTTCTAAATTTTAATGCTGTGTTTCTATCGTGGATCAAAAACAGAATTGGATTACTTTCATTAAGGTACCTTCAAACTGGAGGTAGGCACTTCTGACTTCACAGCATATAATGAACGTGACCCTTGTACTGGCATATGTGAATCCTGCTCAGCAAAATCTGTTCTAAAACTCCAGTATCTCTCACACATAATTATTCACTTACTACTTTCTTCCTTACAACTGCTTTATATATTTTTGTAGCTTGTCCTCTTCTGAAATTTCTTTAGCCACTACCGTACTTTTTTCTGTTGTAGTTTTGTATTTTGATATCTAGCCATTTTGCCAATATCTATTGTATTTATCATCTTTAAAAGAGGCTTAAGTACTTCTTCCTTTTTTTAAAATCAAATGTTACTAGCCCTAACTTTTCCCATTATTCTAAGTTTTTGTTTGTTTGTTTTCTGGGGGGGATACTGGTGGATGTGGCTTTCTTAAGGTAAAGGTAAAGGTTCCCCTTGACATTTAGTCCAGTCGTGTCCAACTCTAGTGCGCGGTGCTTAACCCCGTTTCCAAGCCGTAGAGCCAGCATTTTGTCCGTAGACAGTTTCCGTGGTCACGTGGCCAGTGCGACTAGACACGGAATGCTGTTACCTTCCAACCGTGGTGGTACCTATTTATAAACTAGCATTTACATGCTTTTGAACTGCTATGTTGGCAGGAGCTGGGACAAGTGACAGGAGCTCACTCCATCACATGGATTCAATCTTACGACTGCTGGTCTTCTGACTTTGCAGCACAGAGGCTTCTGCGGTTTAACTCGCAGCGCCACCACGTCCCTGTGGATTTCTTAGATGGTACTATATCTCTTCTTCTGTCATGTGGTTACACCTTTACTATTCTGGCTACTATTTGGATGTCTTCACTTCATTAGTAGGAAGCTAAAGAGCATCATTACCGTCAGCTTTAACTACATTTGTAGCCATAGGTAGAGAGGGGGCAGTAACTCCTCAAGTCAAAGGGTGGCCAGCAGTATCCGGGGAGAGATTGTTTTGCTCATCTTTATCTGCCCAAAATAAATAATTTTCTTCCCTTCTTTGATCCAATAAATCCTCTAAGTGAGACTTAATTCTCTCCTTCAGTAATCCAATACCAGTCCTAATAGTTCTTTTATTTCCTTCACTAAATCTCTAATTTCCAGCATAACCTTGCAAACTGCAAAATTACCCACAACCTTTGTGGATACAAATTTGTAAATTGGGATTGATTTGTGTATTGCAGGGTTTCTTCCATCAGTTTACACCACGGGTCTCAAACTCAATTTACCTGGGGGCCGCTGGAAGCAGAGTCTGGGTGAGGCTGGGCTGCATCAGATTTTCCACCAAGGGGAACAAGGGTCCAAGGAAGGTGCTCAGGAGTTTCCTTAGCCCAGCTGGGGCTCTGAGGAGGAGGTGCACGTGAGCCCTCGTCCCCAGCCACGACCCCCTCCAGCTCCTTCTTCTCTACCACCACAAGCAGCAGCAGGATGAAAAAGTGGAGGAGGGAGGGAGAGCCAGCGACTGCCTAGCCGGGGGGGGGGGAGCATGACTTTAAATTAAAAAAAAAACCCTCACAGAATTGCCTTGCCAAAGGAGAAAAGCCTCCATCGGTACTGGTGAAATTAAACTGAATGGGGCGGGGGCACACACATGGAAGTCCAGCAACCTTCCTCTGAGGGCCCCTGTCAAAAAAAAAAAGGCGCACTCAGCAGCAGCTGAAACAGGACAAAGAGGACGAGGAAGCACTGCCAGGCGCTGAGGCGGCCGCTGGCCGGGCTGGTGCTGGGGGTGCCAAGAAACAGAGCCAGACAGCTGCTTCCCTGGAAGAGGCAGCGGCAGCTGCTGTTGGCTGCTTGGAGGCACTCTTCGAGGACAGGACAGGAGCGAGCGCCGCTCTCAGGCATCGCTCGGCGGCAGCTCAGGCGCTTGGGGAAAAGGGCTGGCAGCATGCCTCACTCGCCGACTCACCCTCAAGACAGCACCTCTTGCACCCTCCATCCGAAACTGCAGCCTACCAGCCAGCAGACAGGCGGGGGGGCTGGCAGGCTACAGTTCCGGATGGAGGGGGCAAGAGGCACTGTCTTGGGAGACAGCCGGCGAGCGAAATGAGGCTTTTTTTGACTCTTGGCAGAGGACGCGTGGGCGCTTCGGGGGGCAGGCAAGGCAGGGGCCACAAACTATCATCCGATGGGCCGCAAATGGCCCCCAGGCCGCATGTTTGAGACCCCTGGTTTACATTGTTAGAAGTTCAAGTTTCCCTGGCTTGATGATCAACCTGCATCTTCCCAAATATTTCACTTTTGTTATTCCGTAAAGATTCCTTTGGAGGAATAGCAGTGGTTGACCAAAAAAAAAAGAAAAAAAAGAAAAGAAAAAAATCTTAGTTTACCACAATCCACATTCACTTATGTAGATGAATGATATCCAACATGGGTGATAGAGACACAAATCCTTTATTAATCCTTCCTAAAGCATGGGGTTGGTCCAAAGTTCCAGAGCAACAGTCCTTCTTTCTGAGCCCAGAGATAGGGATAATAGTCAGTGGTGTAATCTTCCGCAACTGATGGAATACTGGAGGAGATAATATTATGTCTATAATCTCAGAACCACTTAAAAAGAACTGTTCCATTAATACTTTCCACTTTAATGTTAATTCTGAGCTCCAGTATTTACTTGCAGTTAATGCTGAGATAGCAAACTCCCATTTGCCCAATATGTCCTTCCAGCAAGAGTGTAGCAAAGGCAACAGCTAGTCCTCAGAGGTTCAGTAATACCATTTATTTCTGTCCACGTCAATGAAATAAGCAATCTTAGCAGGGAAGCCACTCTTTAAAAGAGATTATTCTTTAAAATTGTTTTCAAAAGACTTCCAGGGACTTTCAAGTCCTACTTTCTAGGAAGTGCCTGTCTCTTACATCCGTCACCTTTTCCAACACATCTGTATGTCTCTCACACCACTTTACTACTACAGTACTATTAATTCTGAATCTTATCTTCATGAAATGAAGTTTCTTGCTGTTTATAGTATTGCCTGGCAACTCTCCCCACAGTCCCCACATCTGTATTCCTCAGTTGTGTGGAGTTGCATGTCTTGGGTTTCTATCAAGTTCTCACCTTCTCAGAGAAGCAGAGCCTACAAAAGCTTGTTGAAGTTTGGCTGCTTCCACCAGAGGTGGGGGAGAAATCTGTGGAGTTTGCTGCAACCCAAGGTTGCACCGTTCTCTACAGCAGCCCTCTTTTATAATAAAAAGACACTAGGAATAATGCCTAATTTAAAAGTCAAACTTTAAAACTATAAAAAGAAATAAAACAAAGATAAAAGCAGAGCTGCTCAGGAGCATGTGTGGTGCCCACCAAAAATAAGAAAGGCAGGTGATGTCACAACAGATGAAATCTATTCCTGATTGAGATTACTAGAGGTCAACAAGGATAGCTGGTAAGATGATTTAACCATTTAGTCACCTGAACAGAAATCCCAAGCGGATGTGTTATTATTATAAATGAAAATAAATTACTTTATTACAGATGAATAATTCCTTTAAGTACAGCTGCCAAACATACCATTTTAGAAGCAAAAAGTAAAGCCATCAAGCATTTAGCTCCACCATGCTTCCAGCCAGCCGTTTCAATTTACTCTTAAAAATGTGGCTCCTGGCAAACAGCTACATGTTACTCATGCTGTAGTACAAAGCCTAAGGTCACTTGTGGGAAAACAGAGTTGACTCATAGAAAACACAAAATCATGATTTGGCATTACATGAATGAGCCTTTCTCCTACTTCCTCTCACTTTTTAATCAGCTACATTCACAGAAACAATAACTGCCGTTTATAATTTGCATATTAATTTTTGCAACAAGTAACTTATTAACAAGTGTGTACAAGAGAATGGGAAGAAGTATCAGATCTGACATACACCAGCATGAACTACACAGGATCTGTAGATAGCCGCAACCAAAGGTTTTGACTGTTTAGCTTCAATAATGCAAATCTGTGTCCTCCTTCCCCTTCAACACCTTGCATGCAGGTATTCCAGCTGCTCAACACCGAATCCGTTCAATTTTTGTTACTCTGAAGCTCCCACCCACTCCTAACACCTGAAAATTTGTGTTTGCTCACAACAGTTGCACTAATTCCCAGCATTTCATAACTAACCCACTTCTTCTCTACAGTCAAAATGTTTGTGAAGATTGGGGGGGGGGCTTTCCAAATTATGTAAAGAACAAGAAAAAGAAGCACCACCAACAGTAGTAGTGTCAGTATTTTAACAATAAATTTGAAGTACAGTACTGAATTCACTATGCACAAACTATTACTACAACAATCCTTAGACATGGTCTAGAGGGGCGGGGTAAAAATCAAATAAATAAATAAATAAATGAATAAATAAATTAAAACAGCCTTGAAGTAGGGCCATTTTATTGCAATTTATTATTCTGCTGTTGTACGGCAAAGAAGACATGGTCTGCCAGTCTGTGATACAATCACTTTACTGAATCCAAGTAGAGCTGACTTACTGATTTGCAGATAAGCACTCAGTAAAAAAACAATCAGAAACACTATTCTCTATCAGCTAGAAATGAAATTTCAGCTATGTCTTCACACATGTTGGGCATAATTTTGCTGGGATTTTACTCCAAAATTAGTGATATCAAGACAGCTGTAGTGGCAAAATGCAGCTAATTAATGAGATGGCAGTCATATGACCAGGGGTACAACCAGCACCTTGTTAATAAACTGTAATTCACTGCCATGGTTTATGCAACTTCTCTCCAGAGTAAAATCCCAGTATGATTCCAACCGCTCCACGCTTAACATGCAGATCCTTAATAAAGTTGTTACTGTATATTCTCAGTGGATGATTCAAGAGTCTTTTAAGCTAGTTGTTTCAGACTCTGACTAAAATAACTGTTTTAATAAATTAAGTGTTTCTCACCCATAGTGCTTGTTCTCTTTCCATGCCTGCCTCCCACTCACTCCATAAAGAATCTACAACTGCAGAATCTGCCCCCAAATTCTAGACAATTTTGAGTGAACAATATTTTTCATACACAAGAATCCCCAATATGGAAGAATACTGAAGAGATAATAACTTTTAGCATATAAACCATCTGCTAAACCAACTGCCTGTTGAAGTAATTAACAAGCTCATCAACACTGTTAAAGAGAGAATGGAGCCCATTCGTTGGCCACCTACACTACCCTAAGAGAGTCTTACCCTCTTTCAGAGCTTTATCCATGTTATGCGAAATCATCACTCTCCTCGACTGGACAGGTTCATGTGCGTTTCCAGATAAAGGATTCTGAAAGAAAACATATATGCATGCCTAAGGTATGAATGAACATAGTATGGGGAAGAAATAAAGGTTTGATTACTACACCCAGCAGAGGCTATACTGTTTGTGACACGTAGCCAAGCCTGGTTGTTCAGTCAGTGCTCGGGTCCATTTTGGAAGGAAAAATTCATTTTTGAAAAAACCATTTCCCTTCTCAGAAGAAAAATGCTCCCAGAGATATTATTAATCTCAGTCTTTGCAATTATTATATAGTACTGTCTCCACCACGTTTAACACCAATAATTAGCTATTTCAAACATGGTGGGTTTGGGTTTCTATTTTTCCTTCCCCCAGAGAAAAATTACATTTTTGAACCACAACTTCTAGAACCCACCAGCCAGGACGAAATCCTGACTAAACATGCTTAGAATCATACTTCAGTTCTGCTCCTAGGACCTTCAATTTAATTCAATTTGGAAATGCACAGAGTTTTCTCCTTATGTACTATGGTAACATTATATTAACTAAGGTGCTGGAATGACATTTTCTGGGACCTCATATCTAAGTCCAAGTGCTGTACTGTATACCACTACTGAAAAGATCTTTCCCTTTTAGCTAAAATCTTCCCACCTACACATCCATGAACAAGGGCTTCCTTTGAGCATCTCAATGCATGACAGATGCTTTTCAATACAAATGTTATTTCATATATCGTGATCCTTAACTTTAAACCAGCTCTTCCATGAGTTCTCAGATACACAGCACAATAAATCAAAATTAGATACATATTTAAGCCACCCTTTTGATTTTCCTTTGCTAGGAAAACAGAAAAACAATAATCCAAACCCATCAATGATTTCTACTATATAATGACAAAGTTAGAATTGGCATGGGACCAGGAACATTAAGGACATAATAATCTTGCAGATTCTATAAACATGTTCAATACAGAGGCAGAGATTAAAAATCAAGTTGCACAAGAAGCAACTACAGGTGAATTACAGATACTGACAATAAATATTCTCCATCAAGGATTTAACTGTCTCAAGATGCTAACTAATATTAGGTTTAACTTTGATAATGTAATACTGTTTGCATCTTCTTGGCATCACCTGTAATTGCCACTTTATTTTCAAAGTTGCTCACGAAAAAGAACCACTTTCCAAAATGTATAACAAAATTAAAATACTGCATAAATGTTGAATTTCTAAGTAAGGTATCACCCTTTCTTCAACAAGAGGAAAAAGGGGTTACCTACCTGTAACTATGGTTCTTCTAGTGGTCTCTGTGAATCCACACAACTGGGTTTAAACTGTGCTTGCTCTAGAATATTCTGAGTATCCAGCACAAGCGCAGTTTAAACCCAGTTGTATGGATTCACAGAGGCCACGTAGAAGAAGCAGGCAGTTGTAAAACTTTGAAAAATGAAAAGTTTGTGGAAGATGAATTATTCCAGTAGAGTCTTCATTATCAAAACATGCACATACCACTTCATGGTCAAATATTTCCAGGAAATCAGGAAATCTCTACACCCATTCCATTTGAGGATGTTGGCAAAAGAAAAGGAAAAAAGAGGAGGAGGCAAAATACTGTATTGTAACACTTTAAAGGCTAACAGTTTTATTTCAGTGTGAGGATATCTGAGGAACTGGATTTTGATCCATGAAAGTTCACACTGAAATAAAACTACAATTCAGTGCTACAATATTTTGTTTTGTTTTTCCTTTCCCTTTCCTTTTCTTTTGACAACATGATGAGATAGACAACTACTCAATTTAAGAATGTTATCTTGAACTAAACCACAAGGGCAAAAAGCATTCACTCTGGAAGGCAAAAGGATGCTGGGTCATTAGGAAAAGATAGCAGTTATCATGAACTACATGCCAGATCTCACTTTAGAATGAAATCGATCCCATTGGGGCCAATCAGCACCCCAAACACACAAGCTAGTAGGGACATAAAACTAAACAATAGCTATGAAAATTCTTTCACAAAGCATGTTGGTCAATGGTCCAAGGGTGGCCATTGAGCTACTACAAACAAGCAAAAGGGCTGAGTAAATATTTCGCAGGTTAGTAAATCCATTGTGTTTATCAGTAAGGTTCTAAAATCCAAATTAATTGTCTGCATTACAGACTGAAATGAATACCAAGACTTCAACATCAATTCAATTTTCCCCACTTCCCTTGCTCACTCCTCATGCTTTTTGTAACAATCTGTTTGAATTTAAGATCTGAAAGATCTGATGTTTACATCCCACAGGTTTACTTAATAAATGCATTATACAAGTACAGGTTTTGGGGCTTTTTTCTTATGCAAAAATGGCCATCTTGGCTTTATCTGCAAAACTTCCTTGCTCTTCTACCAATCGAAACATATAAAAACATCATGATTTTTTTTTTTAAAAAGTAATTTCAATTTCGCAGCATCAACAAATGAAGAACTATTGTTTTGGGTTTTTGGGTTGTTGTTGTTGTTGTTGTTGGGTTTTGTTTGTTTGTTTTTGTAATTCAGAAAGTAGGTCAATCCCAATGATTGCTGACAGTGAATTATGGTAAGATTGAACTTTCAGAAGCAAAGGTTGTGTAGAGCCTACTTATGGAGGCCAACAGAAGACTTGGTAGCCCATATTCTGGTCTTAAACTGGCAAAATAAACTATGAGACTAAATAATAACTTGAGGTCAAATAAAATCTTCAGCCACTCTGGGTAGTTTACAGCATAGCAGCAGCATAATTAAAATATCAATTTGACAGAACAGAAAATAAAAATAATAAAATATAAATAAACAATACAATCAGAAAGCATTAAAATACGTTTACATAAATAAACATTTAAAATGGCAGAATTGGTCAAATTAAGGCTAAGTACCATAAGTTCAATTGACTGTGCAAGCAAGTACTGTATAATGTTTTGAAACGCCTGACTGAATAACAGGGTTTTTAGTGACTTTTTAAAAACTGCCAGTGAAAGGGCCAGATGAATTGCAAGAGGGAGTTCATTCCACAGCCAAGGAGCAACCACCAAGAATTATTTTGAGAGTAATGAGTTAAATCAACTCAAGTATTGCAGCATAACATGTCTGTTCTTAAGAAGAGTTTAGAAATAAGCCACTACTACTGAATGGTTTAGTAACTGCTCATACTACCAATTCTGTCTACAGGTAATCTGGTAGCTCTTCAAAGACATTACACATTACTTCAATAAAAGGTCATTTCTACATTGGAATTACTCAAGAAATGTGTACACAAAAATCAAACCCTCTGCCTGGTGCAGATACCATCTCAGCAAACATTCTGGTTGCAGCCAGTGTTTGATAAGCAAGATAAAGGAACCTCTAGACATCTAAAAATGTCAGACAATAAAGCAAAACGATGGTTCCTAAACTTGGGTACCCAGATGTTTTTAGACTGCAACTCCCAGAAGCCTTCACCACTAGCTGGGCTGACAAGGGCAGATGGGAACTACTAGACTAGAATGTTCATACGTATTTTTTACTTTTACATGGTTTAGATGGTCACACATTAAAATGTGCATATTGTTCTGGGTGCACTGTTTTTCTCTGCAATGTACCTGAAGCCCCACAAATAGTGGGTTTCTTCTCACAAGTTTCAGGAGCTGTGAAATACTAAATTTGTCAAGACCAAAAACAAAACTAAAAAACACAGTAACATTTTCATCCCTAGCAGGAAGTTAAACACCACAGCAAGCAAACTTAGTGAACCTAAAAGTTTTGTACGGGACTGCTTAGCAGACTGAGACATGATGGATTTGTAGCATATTTAGAGGGTTTTCTTCTTTTTCTTCTAAGTTCTTTGCTTTGGCCACTTAAGTCACTTGACTCAGCCTTCTGCTATAATTGAGGTTGTACTATTGCCTTCTCTTTCTCTGGTAGTTTTCAAGTTGCTTTTCTATCTTAAACTGTTTGTTTAAGCTGTGGGTGATGGTTTAACTCTGGATCACCTACTCACTTGCTTCTATAGAAGTCCATGGCTTATGAGTACTGTTTTCAACTAGGGCTAATCAGAGCAGGTTAACTTTGCAGCAAAATCTTGGTACCTGTAGAGTTTTGCATAGAAGATTAAGAGAGAATTCACAGAAATATTTAGAGCAGCCATTCTCAACTTTTTTTTGGCCATGGCCATAAAACCACAATATGAAAGAAATATAGGCTGAATCAGGATTGTTTAAGTTGCATAACAAACCTTATGAGGTGTTATGTGAAGAACTGTTTCTGTTCTATGGCCCCCTTCAAATGTGACAGCCCCCCAGGGGGGCATATGCCCCTCCCCCAGTTGCGAATGGCTGCTCTAGGTAACTGCCTATGAGCTCAAAGGGCTAGTTATTATGAATGGGTTAGAATAGACTTGGGCAAAGTGTGGCCCGAGGGCCACATACGGCCTGCAAGCCACTCCTGTCTGGCCCAGCGGAACGTTTTGAACATCAAAACACATTTATATCTTTTTGTCTAAAGTTGATCAGTTGCTTATCTTTAACATACCGCAAAAAACCTATTTAGTATTTGTGAAGATTAACAAGTTTAAAATAAAAACAATCATAACATGACTGTTTCATTTTATTTTTAAGTAAAGTTTGTTCAGCCGCCGAAAACAGTTCAGATTTTTCATGTGGCCCCCTATAGAAATTAATTGCCCAGCCCTGGGCTAGAACATCTAGTCCCAGGGACAAGGGACAGAATACCTTGTTCATTTTTCAGTCAAAAAGCAACAGAATTTACATATATTCCTAGAGCAAGCAAGTAAATCTCCTAGAAAAGGCTGTGACAAGGATGACGGTATGCCTCTGTACCTTTCATTGGATCAGGAAGAATTAAATGTTTTTCAATAAAATTCATTAAAAACCCTCCTGAAAAAAAGAGGCTACTTTCCAAAGAAGATAAAAACAAAGGGCAAGAAACAAGGACACAGATCAAGATGGAAGGTGAGGCAAACTAGGAGACATTTTGAGTCAATGGAACTACTAAACTGATACCAAGGTCTTCCCATGAATTGTGGCTTTCCTTGGTCTCCAGAGGATGGGAAAGCAGCCTGTACTCCATAGAACCCTTAAGAAGGTAAAATGTGGGAGGAGTTCAACCACCTGCGCTTGAGGTAACAATGGATATTACTCTTGTCTAAATATGTTTATAGTCAGAACTGACTTATAGCAATCCTGATAGGACTTTCAAGTGAAATCTTTAAGGAGTTATTTTGCCAGTTCCACTCTTCCAGTGAGTTTCCATGAGGAAGTGGGAGAGTGGATTCAAACCCTATTCTCCAGAGTTGTAGACTGTTACTCTATCCACTACACCACTGGTTCTTAACCTTGGGTTACTCAGGAGTTTTGGACTGCAACTCCCAGAAGCCTTCACCACCAACTGTGCTGGCTGGGGTTTCTGGGAGTTGCAGTTCAAAAACATCCGAGTAACAAAGGTTAAGAACCACTGCACTACACCACACTGGGAATCCCTTTGTCTAAATATATTCCTGGATAATATCTCAGCCCCTCATGTATTTACTTGGAAGAAAATTCAGTTATCCAGGAATATATTGTCCAAATATATTCCTGAATAACTGAATTATCTTCCAAGTAAATACATGAAGGGCTGAAATGTTATAATGTGGGGGTGGGGAGTAAGGGATCTGCATCTTTAAAAGAAGTACAGTACTCTGTTTCCCAGAAAATAAGACCTATCCTGAAAATAAGCCCTACCTTTTCAGGATGCTCATAATATACGCCCTACCCCCAAAATTAGCCCTAGTTAAGTGAAAGCCTGCCCTCCACCATTGTGCAGCAACCAGAAGGAGATGACATGACTGTATTTGAATAAATGTAGATTGCTGTACATGAAAAAAATAAAACACCCCCTGAAAATAAGCCCTAATGCATTTTTGGAGCAAAAATTAATATAAGACCATCTTATTTTCGGGGAAACACAGCGTTAGGGAACAACATGTCCACATGGAATTTGCCAAGGCTCCACATGCTCATTGACTGCAGCCAACGCCTACAAGCTAAATTTCAACTGTGGCAATTCAACTGCTGGTTCCCACAAGTCCTCAAACAAAATGAAAGGCTTGTGGTTCTACCTTCTCTGTTATATCCCAAGTCTCATTTGAGGAGGCAAATCTGTATCTGGGCTGTACCATTTCAAGGTGGGAGTCACAAGATGAATTAGAAAGGAAAAAAGCCATCCACCCAGAAAGGCAGGATAAACTCAGCATCTACCTTTCTACATGTAAAAAAATGTTTCTGTCATTTCTCCCCAAATTGTGGAGCCATCGATCATGTAATTTCCTCTCTGCAGCAATACACCCCAGATAAAAGGTTATCACTTCAGATGCTGGGAATGCTATCAAGACCTGGTAGTAACTAACGTTTTTCCCCCTCACCTGCGGCTTTTCATACTTCTATTTTCAAACCAGAGTGCTGAAACAGAACAGAGAAGAGCTTCTGCAAATAAATGCAAAGCAGACATCACACATGGCAGATTCAAAATACTGTACTGAAATGAGATCCTCCATGTTGAAAGTGTGGCAACAACTGGTAACTTTCCTGCTGTTTAACAACACCCCAAAGACCACACTGCCTTAGAGGACCATTTCACCTTTCCCATGTTCACAGAGCCTGCTTCAATATAAAAGCCACATTACCAAAGTAATTTATTCTAAAATTGAATAAGGAAGCACATTAGAATGTGAAAACCGTAAGAGTTGATTTGTCTATTATTCATAAGAACACAGTACTTAAACACTCTCTAGAAACACACCCTAAGGAATTGGCCAATCTACTGAAGTGAACCAACACTAATGCTGTTAATTCTACTTTCAATTATTTAAGAGTATTATGATTTTGACCTCTGCAGCCAAAATAATTGGAGTTACTCCACTGTCACTGCACAGATCTCCATGGTTGCAAAGGGAAATGAAATTAAGTGCTAAGCTGCTACATACCAACACACTTGGCATTGGCTCTCCAAGGACACTTTTTCCCTCCTAGCCTCTGTTTCCACTAGACATAAGAGAGATCTAACTTGGATTATAATGTTCCATAATAGTTACAGTACTTGCTAACAGAGAGATGCACAGGCTTCAAATCTATCTGGAGGTATGATACCCGCAGAACTGTGCCCTTTAACCTCGCATATATGAGGAAAGCAAGAGCGAGTCACAATTTCTAAGTTGTGAGGAGAACATCTACTACACGAGCTCAGAAGCATTTGGTCCGACAAAGCCGAGAGATTCAAAGGCTCGAGCCGGGGGTTAAAACCTATTCAAATTCAGCCCTGCTTTTAAATGCATAATTATCCCGCTCACGGTTGGAAATTTGGGGGGGGGGGGCGCAGTGGAAGACGTCTTCTGAGGCGCTGCGACTGAGGAAAAGAATACGTCCCCCCGGAGGAGAGCACTCACCACAGCAGCTCGCAATAATGGAGCGGCGTCTTCTCTTCCCGGATAGCGACGGTTCCAGGCGACTCGGAAATCCGGCACGGGTTGAAGGCGGCCGCGGCTCTGGTGGACCAAAGCCAGCAAGGTGCCGAGGGAGAAGGCGCTGGCGGCGCAGACCAGGTACAAAAGGAGCCGGAGCAGGAGTAAGGCCAGGCACCACTGCTGCTGCCGCCCACCCACCTCGCCGGCCTTTTCCTCCTCCGTTTCCTGCTGCCGGCCCAAGTGGAAGAGGGACACGGCCAACAGCAACAGCAGCAGCCCCAGTCCGGGCGCCAACATGGAGCGGGGCAAGCCGCGAGCCCAGGCCACCGGCGCCGGCGCCGCCACAGCCGCCGCCTCCGCCGCCTCTTCTTCGTCCTCTTCGCCGTCGCCCTCGGCTGCTGCGGCCGGGACGCTGCTACTCTGTTTGCCGGAGTCACCGCGGCCGGGGCTCTGAGCTCCAGGGGAGCCGGCGCCGAGGGCGGCGGCCGCGGGAGAATCCAGCTGCCCACTACCGCCGCTGCTTGACGAGGTGTTAGCGGTCTCGGCAAACATGCTGCTCCAAGAGCCTCCGGGAACCAGCACATCTCCCGCCCCGGGGCCTTTTTCGCAAGCTCTTCTCTTCTCCGTCCACAGCCAGCCTCTTCCTCCGCCGGCTCAAGGCACCCCACGAGCAAACGCCGGCCGGGCTCATGCCCGGGATCTGCCGCCGACACTCCCCTTCTCGGTTGCACGTTCAAGGGGAGGGTCGCCTGGGGCTCAGCGGGGGCCTGGCTCGCCTGCTCATCGCATCACCGCCAGGAGCCGGTCGAGGCCCCGCGGAGGCTGTTTGCGCGCAGCCGGCCAAGGGGAGGAGGAAGCGCCTGAATGACAGCAGCTGCTGGAAACCCAGCCATGTGCAGTCGGGCAGGCCGGGCGGAGCCAGCGCGGTCTAGTAGGCAGCAGCCGTCAGCCGACTCTCTCCTTTCTTCCCTTGGCCGATGACACTGTCAATCTTAATGCTAGCTAACCTCCTAGCAGCATAGTCTCCCGGGTGTTGCCTCTTGGAAAGGGCTCCTTCCAAAGGCATATTGCATTTCCCTGCTATTCTTCCTAATCAAGCAAGAATCATACAAAGGCTTCTGTGCATACCCATCTCCAGATACTGTACTACTGTAGATAAGTGATATTTATAAATTGTCTTTCACACCAACCTTGTGCAGCCTGGCTATTCTGCTCGACTGCAGTAGTCTTTGTTGACAAGTGTGCGTCGTTATGATTGCAGCTTCCACTATCATCTGAAAACTGCTTTCTTGTATACGCACTTGCCTGGGACCAAGTGCTTTTGAATACACTGGGACTTCCTTCTGACTCTTTAAGTAAACAAGTACAAGACAACACTGTAAGCAGCATTTATTCCCAGAAATAAGGCTTACTTGACTGTGGCAATGGTTCTGAACAGGAAGATTGTAATGTTGTACACAACTGCCTGAGATTAAGTTCCACGAAACTTAATAGGACCAACTTCTGAGTACATATGTATAACTTTGTATGGTTAATATGTTTTAATTTAAAAGTTTTCAGCCTAGGCTTTTGCCCTGGGGTTTACTGTACAGTACTTCCAAATTTGTTTGGAATTAAACCCTATTGTGTCTCTAGGATTCCCTTCTTGCCTCGTATCTTCAAGCGTGCAACCTGCCTCAACTCGCTTGGAAGAGGAATGTAAATTGTGGGTGGACTGTGTCATAAATCTGGGCACAACGACTGCCTTGATAAAAATACTCATTAACAAGTTCATATTTTAATGCCAGCGTCGGGCAGATGTTTGAGGAATAGGTGCTGTTACAGGAGAAGGTGAGAGCTTTACTGGTCTTTTCATGTGTGGTGAAGACAATGACACAAAAGGAAGATTTGAGATCCCTGTTTAATCTGGAGGATTACAACCTCTATTTATGGAATGTCGATCGTTGCACTTAAACGAGCAAGAGATGGGCCTCTCGAGCAAGCAGTTGCAACAGGTTATCCTGTGGTTACTGGTTAGCTTAACTATAAAGCCTGACAGCCTCAGAACAGACATTTGCAGGCAGCCACGACCAGGCCTGAGCCACTAAGAAGCTTAAACCAAGCAGGACTCGAGGCCTCCCCCTGCTGCACACACACACGAAAGGCGCTTCTAGGCACCCGCACAGCGACGGAAACTTTGGTTTCCTTCTGCTCAATCCCTCCCTTTCCTGGCTACGCAGAGACGGAGCAGGCGGGAGAAGGTGCGCTCGCTGACGGGGAGGCCCAAGGGAGCTTCAGCACACCGAGTGACATCCGGCTGGCGGTGGGTATTCCGCCCACCTGCAAGCAGCGGGGCCTGTAGGCCTCCGGGCCTCATTGCGGGGTTTGGGCCGAAGACGCTGCTGGTTCTGCTCAATCCCTCCCTTTCCTGGCTACGCAGAGACGGAGCAGGCGGGAGAAGGTGCGCTCGCTGACGGGGAGGCCCAAGGGAGCTTCAGCACACCGAGTGACATCCGGCTGGCGGTGGGTATTCCGCCCACCTGCAAGCAGCGGGGCCTGTAGGCCTCCGGGCCTCATTGCGGGGTTTGGGCCGAAGACGCTGCTGGCTNTGCTGCGCGCCTCGCCTCGGGCAGCGTCTCCACAACAAAGTGGGAGATTTGCTGCCGTGTGTGTGTGTGTGGGGGTGTCTTGGTGCTTTCACCCGAATAAGGGAGAAGAGGGTGCAGAAAGGCTGTGTGGCCTTTTTTTCCCCCCAAAACAGAGCGAGGGATCTCGTGTGCAACCGCAGTTCGTGCTTTGATTAATCCCTCCCTCCCCAGAAAGACTCTGCCTCTTTGATAATGTTTGTTAATTCACTGTCTCCCATGGAGACCCCTGATGGCCTCTTTCTTTGAGGTGAATGTGTGACTACCATACTGTGTCTCCAGTTGAAAGAGTAAACGCTGATCAAGCCACTGTGGGGTTTTGGTTTGCTGGCGGTGGTCCCTTTTTATTCCTGTGCATGCTGATGCATCATCGCAGGAGCTTTATTTCCAGTAGAAGCAAGCTGTGATTGCCACGTGTCTGGGAGGGGTCAGAATAACCCTTACAGTTATTTGCCAGGTACATAACACGTGTGGATCCCCCTCTTCACAGGTTTGTGGTCAGCTGTGGCCCACCAGCTTTTTTGTGCCTACAGTTCCCACGAACCCTAGCCAATATAACTAGTAGTGATGGGTTCTAGAAACTTCAGTCTAAAAACATCTGGAGAGTAACAAAAAAAAAGTAGCCGAGTGGTCCCTACATAGGGGAGAGGACGATGCTTTTACTTGGAGCACTAAAAAGTATCGGATAAGATGAGCTTTTGATTCCTCCAGAACACTTCAAATGGCAAAAGTGGTATACAATTAAGGTAGATAGTTCAGAAATTGGGCCCTGGGAGACTCCAACATTCATCAGCAAAGATGAATAGTTTTAAATTTCACAAAAGAAAGAGATGGCAAAGGTGTAATGTGCAGTCTCTCCTCTCTTTACAGACAAAACCTAGCTTGCCCTTCACTTGGCCAGGGTGACACCATGGATCTCTTTTGTGAACTTGGAGCAGAAAAAATGTGCAGCAAGGTCTCAGTCTTTGTTTTTGTTATGTGCCATCAGGTTGCTTTCAACTTAACAGTGACCCTATGAAAGAGCAATCTCCAAAATGGCCTATCCGTGACAGCCCTGCTCAGCAATTGCAAACTGAAGACCATGGCTTGCTTTGTGTAGTCAACCCATTTCATATTTGGCCTTCCTCTTTCCCTGCTGCCTTCAACTTTTCCTGTCCCTATTGTGTTTTCCAGGGATTTCCAGTGTGGTGTAGTGGATAGGGTGACTGACTAGGATTCTGGAGAACAGGGTTTGAATCTCCACTTGGCCATGGGAACTCACTGGGGGAGCAAAAGTGGTAAAAATCACTCCTTTAATATCTCCCTTATCTTGAAAGCCCTATTAAGATCACTCTAAATTGGTTTCTGACTCAACATTCCAGTGAATCTTGTGAGCTGCACAAAAATAGGATAGCCCGGGTTTCGCCATTTCTGCTTCTAAAGAGCATTTGGTGTTACTTGATCTTGGACCAACTTGATAAAAGGCTGTTTCTTGCATTCCATGCTATCCTGAAAGCTGTCTTCCAACACCATATTTTAAATTAATTGATTTTGTTTGCGTTTCACATCCATGCTTAGCAGTAAGGAACACAGTAGTGCTGTTGCTCTTGATCTCCAGTGACAAGTCCTTACACTTGATCTTTAGTTCCTTCATTGCTGCCTTCTATCTCAGCTTCTGCTGATTTCTTGGCCTCGGTCTCCATTTGAATAAATGATAGAACCTAAGGTATTCAAAATATTTAACTGTTTTGATTTCTTCATTACCAACATAAAAGTTATGTAAGTTATGATTTCATTCTTCTTACTGTTCCACTGGAGTCCTAACATTTGCATTTTCTTTCATCTTCATCGGAACTCGTTTCAAGTCACTGCTGCTTTCTGCCAGTAACATAGTCATCTGCATATTTTAAAATTATCCACCAATTATCACTCCACCTATATCTGAATCTAGTCCACCTTCCTGTATGATGTGTTCTGCATACAGATTTTTAGGGAGATTATATACAGTACACTCTTGCCAGACTTTTTTGCTTTGTTTCTCCATATATTGCACTACCCTAACAGTAGGTTCTTGTTCACAATACAATATAGGTGTGCATAAGGACAATAAATTACTAAGACACACCCATTTCTTTTAGAACAATCTGTAGCTTCTCATGAGGCACACACTCAAAGCCTTTGCTGTAGTCTGTACAGGCTGATCATTTTCTAAAAAAATTTCATGTGCTCCAGTAGCCACCATATATTTGCAGTATGATCTGTAATGCCACTTGTTTTGCTTGAACATCAGACATTTCATATTCTACATACGATAAAAGTCTCTATGGCAAATCACTGTTTTATATTAGTTAAATAGAACGATACATTTTCGTATCAGTTGGGTAACAGTTGTGCACACCTGGTTTGATGACTTCTTTGACATCTTCGTGCACGTGGAAAACTTACATACCAGGGAGAAATGTATACTGTACTTGAAGCTATTTGTGTAATGTATTTCTTTGTACAGTGAGATTTTGGATTTTGATATGAAACCACTAGAGAGAAGCAGTCCTTTTTGAGCATTGTAGGGCAGATTTGGACTACACATGTAGTAAAATGCAGAGCAGCCTAGTCTGTACCACTTCAGACATCAGGTAGGGAGTGCTGTTTTTGAATGTTTTATCTCCAAGTAAAATTCCTTGGAAATAAGGGGAGGAGGTCATGGTGGAGATAAAGGTTCTCCTACAGGTTCAGTTAATTTTCTACTTGATGGAAGGGTTGGTTTTCCCTTTTTTATGGAGGATAGTATTGAAAAGTGAGTTTTCCATTCCTCACTTGGTTTTAAAATGGTGCAGTCTACCAATGTGAAATGGTGCAGTTCCATTCTACCACTTCATTACAATACCATCTTTTTCTCCCCTCCCCCTTACTGTTAGGGACCTGAGTTCCTTATCCCCACAACATCATATTTGAGTATGCTTCTTAAGATGTTGAAATAATTGGTTACGGTCAGTTCATCCCCATCCCCATGGCTTTATTACTCTAGGGTTGTCGTTTTTTAATCTGAAAGCCCCGGCCCCCGTGGAAGAGAATAATGTCAGTGATAGTTTTGCCTTGGCCAAGGTGAAATACTGTGGACCTGAAAAGATACATAAACTCTGTTCCCAAGTCTTGAAATATATCCCCTCTATGTTGTGACTGGTAAGGTACTGTCCAGGGGAAAATATATACGGTTACCAGACAGGTTTGAATCTATCTTTTGAAAAAACGCCCTGCGTTTTGTGGGACCATAAACAGTTACCATGCTGAAATAAAACTGGTATTCTGATTCTGTTTCATCCGTTGTCTTTGGAAGGACATGAGATTACAAGTTGCAGTAGAAAAATGAAAACATTGTGGTACAGCAAGCACAGTTGCTTGTCCCCAGTGTGAATAGGTGTTCCTTATACTGTATGTGAAGTTTTTAGGCAGCCTCCTTCAATTCCGTGACATATTGTGTTAACGTGGCTCCCCTCTGCCTGTACAATGCAATAGGACTTTCCAGAAGTGCTACAGTTGCTCAGAACTGTATAACATGCCTCCCAACACGTTTGCATTCTGCATATATATGATTTGCAACATATGCACTTCCAAATTGTGCTGTACTCTCTCCCTTGCTTCTAAGAATTGCACATAAAGAGGATTTGTGGAAATTATCAGAGCCAGTTTCAAAACTAAATTACCTCTATATGTTTGTATTTCTGTGGAGGTATTTAAATTACATTCTGTGTTGGCCTCCATGTATGTGTCAAATCAGTAGAAAACATAGGCTACATTTAGCAAACATCAGCATACTTGTTTGAAAAGGAATGAGAGAGAGAAAAAATCTTCCCTCCTGATTATATGAAAAAACCTGTCCTGATGTATGTGCCATGAATTTACACAATAAATAAATAAATAAATTATGATAGTAGAACTGTTTGTTTTGTGCAGCAGCTCTGATATGCTCCTAAAATGAGTTCATGTGGGGGAAAAAATCATAGTTGCATAATAAAATTCCCATAATTAATATTGCAAATTAAAAGAAAAAATATAGTGTTTTGGTCTGGATGGTCAGAAGCTATACAGTTACTATTAGACTACTGTTTTGCAGTGAGTTGTATTTCAGGCAGGGATGCTGTACAAACTAATAGACAAATTAATAATATTAATAAGATGGTTTGGGATTTATTTCCAAAGTTGGTATTCATGAATTACTGATTCTGTATTGCAAAATGAGTTTTTTTATATTTCACTGTTCAGTGTTTTTCTCCATGATTGATAAAAATCCATGATTTTTTTAAAAAAATCAATTTAAATCATGATTTAAATTTTTTTTAATCTGATTTTTTAATTTAAACCGTCAAAAAATTTTTTTGATTTAAATCAAATCCACCCTGGACTTTTCTCAGTGATTTTCACATGGGTATGGGCCAGCTTCAGGGTAGTGGGAGCCACTTTGTTTCTTACTTGATCCCTGAAGACAACTAGCATATGGAACTGTATAAAAAATAGAAAGTTGAGGGGAGAGCCAGTTACCTATTTTACTGGGTTGATCTGCATAAATCTTTCTCAGCATCAAGGAATCTCATAGCCTAATATAGCCAAGGAAAATGAGGATTATTACTGTTGAAGAATTAGGAGTCAGGAACCTTTGCCTATATGAGTCATGCCAAGATGAGGCTATTGTCCAAACACATATTTTGTCCACAGTCTTATGACTGACATCCCGTTTCTAAAGAAAAAATGTTATCATACCTTCTTGCTGTACCATTGTAGTGTCATAGCAACCATTGTCTATTATAGCCTGGTGTGCAGTTAATCAAATAATGTGAGACATGCTTTGCAAACATTACTGCCTTCATGCGAAGCTATGGGGTGTTTCAGGTGGCCTCTCATACAGAACCTATACAGTAATGTGCAAAATGGATCTTGGTGGAAAGATGGAGAGACCTACAGCATCTCAAATACTCTGTGCTATTTTGGGAATGAACATTTTCATTGCCTTGAAAGTCCTAGCACAATAAAATAATAATCTTTTATCTAAACCTGGCTGCCCTTTTGGAGTCTATTATTTGTGAGTTCTGGAGGATAAAATAATCCCAGTTAAAATGTCATCCTGAGGCTTTTTTGTGATTACATTTTGCGGTGAATATATCATAAGTGAAATGGTATGTGATATGATGTAACCAATGAATAAGTCTTAAGTATTCATACATTCATGCATAAATATGCACATTTATTCTGTTATTGTAAATTATACAATAATTCATTGTATAAAACAGAAACTACTAATTTTGTACAGTACTACATAAATGCAGTTTATTCAGCACAATTTTGAAACTGTGCAAAAAGGTATAACAAAACGCCATATGGAGTCATATGGGATAATAAAGACCAATAGTTAATGTTATGTATAGTCTTACACTTGGGTTCATATGCAGGGATAAAAACTTGAGCATGTATATAAGCCTTGATGTAATAAGGGTATAGAGAGGAATTCACTATAATGTTTTCCTCTGTTGGTGTAATAATTTCAGTTTTCAATTTGTAGGCACTTCCGCAACTTTGTTTTGGTCATGGACCACCGATATGAAGATGTGTCAGATTGTGAAGTGGATCATTCCTTTTTCGATAGTGATTTTGAGGAAGAGGTGAAGAAGGTTGGAACCACAGCAAAAATTGATGCAAAAGAAACTTATGAGCTTGCACACTCAGAAGATACCATTGAAAGTAATACTGACATGAAAATGGAAACCAAAGGCTTGGAGGATAACTGTGGTCAGGGAGGAACACAAGAGCAAGAAATAGGATTCCAAGAGGAGCATACCTTTGATAGTGGTGCTTATCAGCCTGAGAATGCCATGACTTCACTGCCTTCTGTGAATTCAGAAACTGTAAATAAATCTGCTAATAATTCAGCACAAAGTGAAATAATGTGTGAAAATAACTTTACATCTCAAGTTCCCCAAATAGTTCAGCATTGTGAAGAAAATTACTATACAGATGAGGAAGACAGCAGTGATGACAGCAGAAACCAGCTGGTTAGACATAAGTTATCCAAACTGTCAAACAATGCAAAAGCTAATAAAAATATAGCAGTCCATTCATCATCATCCTCTTGTTCATCCTGTAGTTCTGATACAGATTGTTCAGACACAGATTCTGATGGTTGCTTATCGGACTCATCATGCTCTTCTTCAAAAAAGAAAAGCATGGGTAGCCTAGCCATTTGTTCTCCAAAACAAAAGTCTAGCCCAAGAACAAAGTTGGATGAAGTAAAACCAAAGCTGAGTGACTATGCAGAAGAGTCAGAAGACACAGTAACTGATGTAACCCCTCTGTCGACACCAGACATCAGTCCCATCCAGTCTTTTGAACTTGCAGCATCCAGTGACAAGAAGTTGAAGGTTAAAAGACAAGAAAATGTAAACCAGGACATATATGGTAAGCTTGAGGGGTTTAAATAGAACATTCAGCTTGTGAAATGCTACCCTGTTTCTCTGAAAATAATACCTAACCTGAAAATAAGCCCTAGTATGATTTTTCAGGATGCTCGTAATATAAGCCCTACCCCCAAAATAAGCCCTAGTTAAGTGAAAGCCCGCCCTCCACCATTGTGCAGAACCAGAAGAAGATGACATGACTGTATTTGAATAAACGTAGATTGTACATGAAAAAATCCCCTGAAAATACCGGGGGTTTTTTTTTGCGCCATAAGACACACTTGGCCATAAGGCACACCTACCGGAGGAAGGGAAAAAAGGCATCAGAGGATAGGGAGCCACTAGCTCCCTTACTGCCCCAGCCAGCTCATAATCTTGTCAGTTGTCCCTCATTGTCCGGAAGAGCTCCTAGGCCCTGCCCCGGAAGGGCGGCGTGGTGGTGATGGCGCTGAACACTACAGGGCGGTCATTTGTGGCAGGTTCCAGAGAGGGTGCCTGATGTTTCACAGACCCCATAGGAAGCCTCGCTGAGAGGACCACTCCTCTTCTCCCCCCCCCCGCACGCACACCCACCCACAAAGTCCATGCAGCTCTTTTTGCCCTCTCGGCCTTTACTGGCGCAGATAGAAAACGGAAGCAAGGCCTGCGCTGCACCATGTTGAATTGGGCACTGTTCCCCTTTCCCTCACAAGACGGTGGACAAAGGAATATGAGCGCCAGGCATGAGAGGGGGAAGCTGGCGGTGGGAACAGTATTCGCTCCATAAGACGCACAGACTTTTCCCCCCAGTTTTTTTGGGAGAAAAAGTGTCTTATGGAGCGAAAAATACGGTAAGCCCTAATGTGTTGTTTGGAGCAAAAATTAATATAAGACTCTGTCTTATTTTCGGGAAAACACAGTACACTTATGAGAACAAGTACAATTCATTCTTAAACTTTTTTTTCTTATTAGAGCCTGACTTGGACCACAGATGTCAGCAAAAGGTTCTGCATGAAGCTATGGATTTGAACCATCTTTTGAAAGGTGACCTTTTCTCTTAAAATAACGTTTACAGTATTGTGCAGGTTTCCTTGATTTCTCTGAGCAGAATGCGTTCTTGTATAATATTTAGTTACTAATTTATTTCAAATACCTTTGAGAAAGGATGATTGATTAAACTTACTTTATTGCCTGCATCAGTAGCATTATTAATAATTTTTATTATTATTAATTATAATGTGTAAGTTACTTCTTATGTACTGTATCTTTTATGAATGAATTGATGTGGCCTATTTCTGCTTATTTGCAACTGTACAGTTATACTTACTTTACTTCCTCCAATATAGTAAGTTGCAAGTAAGCAAATATAGGCCACACCAGTTCGTTCATAAAGAAATATATTATACAGCTATATAGTGGTTGTAATTATTGACTATATATTAGTCGTATTATATGACTAAACATGTTTGCTTCTAATTAATCTGTACTTTCTGGTAAGAAAAGTTAATATTAATGTCGGGTTTCTGGAGACCCCTTAGTTGTTACCATGTTTCCCCGAAAATAAGACAGGGTCTTATATTAATTTTTGCTCCAAAAACGCATTAGGGCTTATTTTCAGGGGATGTTTTATTTTACAGTCATGTCATCTTCTGGTTGCTGCACAATGCTACACAATGGTGGAGGGCGGGGTTTCACTTAACTAGGGCTTATTTTTGGGGTAGGGCTTATATTACGAGCATCCTGAAATACCATATTAGGTCTTATTTTCAGGTTAGGGCTTATTTTCGGGGAAACAGGGTATCCTATTATTCTAGTAAGAGATGTTCTGCTATTTTACTGCAATGTATTAATAACTTGGGGAATGTTTTCACATAGCCTACACATATACTCTATAGCAGTGGTCCCCAACCTTGGGCCTCCAGATGTTCTTGGTCTACAACTCCCAGAAGCCTTCAGCAACACCTGTGCTGGCCAGGATTTCTGGAAGTTGAAGTCCAAGAACATCTGGAGGCCCAAGGTTGGGGACCACTGCTCTATAGGACTACCTCTCTCTCAGTGTTCCAGTTTCATTTGTAGCTTTAAAAGACAGGAGAGAAGTCCCCACAGAGTCTAAAAGGCACCTTGTTTTGCTTAAGAACACATCTGTCTCCATGTGTACTTAGCTTGTTGTTGTTTGGAGTAGGTCACATGTAGTTCCGAAGAAGTAATATTTCTGCCAGGTTCCTCTGAAGTATGTACAGGATAGGTGCGAATTGTCCCAAGGAATTAAGGGCATCAGGGCATATACATTAAGGTATCCTTGAAACATTAGAGGAATGGAACCATTCATATATCTTTGTGTGTAAATGAATTGGAACAATCCATTGATGGTTACCTGTACTATTTGTGGAACACAAACCTCTAGGTTCATTAGGATTCACTCTTGTCAGACTCAGTTAATGCATACCAGAAAATGCATTTTGGAATGAATGCATTCCAGCTTGACTGCTAGATGGTCAGACCTGGCCTGACAAGTTGTGTTGACTCATTTTGGATATACTGTATAGAGATGGGGGTATTCATATACGAATATCCTAATGTAGCTGGACTTAACAAAGGTGGGCTGGACTGTCCAGTCACACATTTGGTGGTGACCTCACTCATCCTTCTAATCACTCCCAGAGCGCCACTCACTTCCCACTTGGATACCCACTCCAGGCAGGGGGAAGGAGGACAAGTCTCCCTACACAGCTGCCAAGTGGCTAGCCAAGCAGGAAGAGAGTGGTACTCCAGGAGTGATTGGAAGGATGAGCAAGGCTGCTGCCACCAAATGCATGAGTGGACAGTCTGGCCCCAGAGGCTGGACCCTCATTAAGTCCAGCTATGCTGGGGAGAAAAAGTGCGTCTTATGGAGCGAAAAATACGATATTTGTATATGAATACGAATACCGCCATCTCTAGTATACACCAACACGTGATGGGCCAAAGTCTTCCTTACACACATAGTGAAAAAACATAGATATGCGTATAATAAAAACAGATGTTTTCTACATGATGATTTTATTCATAAAGTACAAGGACAACCTAGTCCTGAAAAAGTTAACAGCGTGGGGTGAATTGTTCGCTTCTTCCTTCTCACAGTATACTTGTGCCAGGAGACTCTGTCATATGTGGTAGATACAGTCATCTGGCTAAGAACCACAACATGATGACAAGTACCTCTTTGCTTTACACTCACAACAGAGCAAGTCTCTGCCTTATATGTAAAAGGAAATTTTACCAACTAAAAAATCTCATGTCATAGCTCTATTACTTGAAAAAGTTCAACAGATGTAGTTTCTCCTGTCTGAAAGTAATCCTGTCCCATATTGATTCCTGAATCCCAGTGCATGGGTACCAAATTGACAGCTCAATTCGACACCTTTGGTCTGCAGGAGTGTTAGAACCCACAAATATTGTGTCACATCTTCAGAAATTATGGGATAATTGTTAATTTGAGCTGAGGATGTAGAATTAATATCTGGTATGCCCACTGCTTTCTGTCTTTTAATTGTTCTTAAGCTGATATGAGATACTCTGTGTCAGTCTATTATGATGCACTGCTGATGTCACGTAAAAAGATTCTTTATTATGGCATGCTGGCAGTAACATTTCTAGTAAGTACTTCAAGAGGGGAACAGCTGTGAAAAGGGTTTCTCCATAAAGCTGGAATTGATACAGATCATTGTGATGATGCATCCCTATTTTTAGGAATTTACTCAAGCAAAATAGGTGAGAGCGCCAATTATCATGAAGAGAAGAAAATAATTATAGAGGTGGTATTTTAAGGGGAAGCAGAGAAGAGAGGGTTTTTTAAAGAAGGTAGCATCTAAAAGGTAGTTAATAGAATGTAATTAAAAGAATCTACAGTACTTCTGTTTTGTATAACACCTAGTCCTGCAAATCATCCTGATCCTAAAAATAGTATCTAAATACTGCCAAATCATACCTTTCTAATATTGGAAATATATATGAATCTGTCTATCCTAATATACAGTATATCCTCCATTGGATATATGTTAGAAGCATATCTTACAAAGTATTTCATAATTTATTGGAAGATAAAATATAGGAGGGATCCTTGCACATTGCATAGAACAGCCTCTTCTGGCTCCAGGTTCTTGCATTCAGAGAGAGATGGTGGAAGAAGTTGCAGGGGGACTTGAAAACAGTGTAGGATAAAGATAGCTCTGAAGATCACCTATAGTGAATATAGGTGTCTTTATCAATCCGTTCAGTCTTGATGAGGACAAACTGTATCTGCAGCATCAGTTGTCATTTTTAGGCAGCACAATTTTCCCAAATAGACACATTTTAGCTTTGCAAGAAATTGTTTCAATCATCATATCCCAATTTCATTATTTTACTAGAATAATGCAGACAAACTTCTGATTTTAGGACACCTTTCCCTAATTTTTAAATTTAGCAAAATCATGATAAAGTTTTTAAAGATCGTAAGGGATTCTGTCCTGTTTCATTGCCTTCAGATTACAGTTAAACTTTTTGATTGGTGTTTGCATTTTGTTAGGTTAATAACACAAATGCGTAGTTCTCTCTGTCGCTAAGTTTACAGATGTGATTGACCTAGGAGATATATTTCTGGACTCCACAAAAAGTTCCATAGAACATATGCTGTACTCTGCATTTGAATTGAGGCAAGAACAGAAAAGGGGATGGGATGTATTCTCAATACTTTCTTCTTAAATGAAATATTGTGGTTTCATGCTATCATTTAAACAAACCATTGCCCTCTTCCCTCTATCTAAAAAAATCATCCCACCCAAAATAGCAGTTCCCAGCTCTTGGGCTAAATGCACCTGTCCCAACTAGAGTACGGTAATGCTCTTGATCATGAGAGGTCTGTAAGTACACACTTAGCAAGTGACTTTGCAGACTTTTACAAGTAGGTTTGCTTTGTTTCTATATGTAGCAGGGAGTTGGGTCCCTCTGTCCGTATTCCCAATGATTAGTCTTCCTTCACATGAATAGTACTACCACTACTAGACTACTTGTATAGTTTTCTTTAATGTGTTATAATCTCCATGAAAACATTTTTCACTGTTAGAACTCCCAGGTTATTTGTAAAAAGGAGAACAGGAAGTAATAATCTACTTCCTTCCTTTATAGCAGTGGTCCCCAACCTTGGGCCTCCAGATGTTCTTGGACTTCAGCTGCCAGAAATCCTGGCCAGCAGAGATGGTGGTGAAGGCTTCTGGGAGTTGTAGTCCAACAACATCTGGAGGCCCAAGGTTGGGGATCACTGCTTTATAGGACCTGAGAAACTTCCTTTTGCTAGTAACACTGCTTAGCCAGACACTCATGACTTGCAGCTTTTTTACTATCTTTGATGAGGTTGAGGTTGCAGTAGTATTGGATAACTGGCATCATTTTGTTTAATCTTGGTCGTTAGAATTTTAAGCTTTAATTACATTACATGAGGTAACTTGGTGGTGTTTCAGTAGTAAACAATACATTTTAACTGTCCTCCATAGGGACTCTCTGATAGAGCAAGACTGGGGTGGTTTATCCATTGCAGAACACTAAAGCACTCTAATGTAGAAGAAATTCTCTATGTAGAGGCTTCAAGCAATGAAGGGTTGAGATGTGTAAGTGACTCTTCAATATATAGTATTGTATAGTGGTTTTACTGCATTCTAGTGTGCAAAACATGAAACAGGATCATTACCTCATAGAAGTAGATTATTATTGGCCAGAGAGGTACCTAGCTGTTTGTCCATGCTTAAAGGTTCTTTGGTCTTCTCCTTTTTTTCTTTTTTTCTTTTTGCCAAGCCCAAAATTGTACTTGCAAGCCTCATACCTAATGTACTACAACTGCTTCCACACACATCTCCTTCAGAAAACTGTAAAGACCAGAGAGGGTAGGGAAGTATACTGGGTAGGACACTGGTCCTTAAAAGACGCCATGAACATTTGAAGGTAGTGGGGTCCAAGGAAACCACTTCCCCAGTGTACATTCCCATAGGAAGTATCAGTAGAAAAGAATGTAGGGTTTTTTTTCCATTGTGGGATGGAAAAGGTCAGAAGAAGGGAAGGATACCAGTTTGGCCATACATGGCAAGAAGCACTGCTTCCTTTGCCACACAGTTATTAGCCAGTATTCTACTGCCTTAGCAAAACACAAGTGGACAATAGTGTACATTTCTCCCCACCACCATCATCAAGCAGGTTTGCTAGAGCACGTTTGTTGTCATGGTGGCTGCAACATCAACCAGGCAGCAGGTCACCAGATGGGAAACAGGATGAGGAAGGGTTCAACAAAATCCTTCTGCTCCACATTTAAGCAATAGGATGCTGATCACTATATATTTACCACAAGACAGTGCCATTACTGTAGTGATGAGCAGAATTGTTGAAATCTGCTTGTGAAAGCATCATCCACTACTGCAGGGCAGAACAGCATTAAAACCAGTGTAATTGCTGAAGCAATTTATTGTGTGTGTTAGCAGTCTCCTTTAAAAAAAAAGCTGGAAAGGAGTATGTTGAACATGTAAAATACTTTGAGCTGAGGTAAAGTAGTCCTTAGGATTCTCCTAGTATGGTACGGATTGGCCATGCTTTTGTGTTAGTGACTTTGGAACGATTATATGGTCTAAAAAATAACCCAAGAAGTTGGATCTACTGTACTTAGATTTTACTGTTTAGCAAACACTGTTATCGGACCAAGCTACAGAAAAAATGGATAGAAGAGACAGTGAAGAGGGAGAGAAAATAAAATATGCTCAGCCTTTGAGATACGTTTCCTGCTGTCATTCATTATAGTCTTTTTTGATTATCCATTCATTCTCACAGAACATGGTTGCTATTTGCAGAAGCAGCTGTCAGTGGCTGCATTCATCGTAATATCAAGCTATGGTTTATCCCTATAAGGAAGTGCCATAAATTACAAACTGGCAAGGGCTGAATTGGTAACACATTTAGGGCCAAGTAGTAACTGACATTCTCCCCCACTCCCTGATGTAGCCATGAGGAGAAGGGAAGCTTTCACTTCCATTTTAAATTCACCTTATTTTGTGTTGAAAACCAGAACTGTGCTTAATCTTAATTCTGATGGGCTAAAATGTGAATCTCACAAACACAGTTTTAAAAACATGGTTTTTAAAAAAAAACAGAATAAAGATTAAAAACAGTTTGTCTAGGTTTGGATGTAAGAAAATGTACTAAATCTAAAACAGAAGCGAGAGCTTCCAAGCTTCTTGGCCTTGTCAAAGACATTGTGAGAAGCACACATCTAGGGCTCATTGTAGCTTATGCTTTGGTGTTGAACTGTGGTATGTGCAAAAGATGTAATCATCATTACTCTATGTTAACATCTGCCATCGTCACACTCTTTCTCTTGAGACTTTTTAATGTAGAGAAATCACGTTTTGGTGGTTCAACATACCTTGTCTGAACTTTGTTGTTTTTTCAAAGCAGTGGAAGGAATGTTGGACAAATATTTCAGACCAATAATCCTTACTGTCTAGCATGCAATTAAAATATTAAACAAATTTGAAATATAGCTTCTGCACTGTTTCTTAACTGCTTACTTTGAAAAATTCTCATTTTCTTTACATGTAGGTGAAAGGAAAATGGAAAGGGGTGAGGGAGGGATTTTATAACAGAGATAAATGTGCATAAAGATTGAAGTATGCTTTGTTATATTTTTAAGCTGCTTATTTTCCATTTGAATGTGCTGCTAGCATACAAAACAATTACTTGGTTGAATGGAAAGAACCATAGGCTGAAGGGAAATAGCACTATTATACAAACACTATCATTTTTGCATTTAGCTTCACTTTTCTCACTTGACATTCTAGTCCAAGGTGTCTTTCTAATAGCAAAGGACAGCAGAATATATGGCCTCTCAGATGCTGTTAGGTTACACCTACCATCAGCCCTACCCAGTACAAAAGTAGTGAAGGACTCATGGAAGTAGAATTACAATCTTGCAGCTCGATATATTCTCACAAGATTGTCAGTAAGGCCTCTTCAGATCCAATCAGACTACAATTGCAGGTGGAATTTTGATGTTTTTATAAATGTATATTAAATGGGATGACATCACATCAGAAGTTAACACTTTTATTTGGTAAGATGTGTGAATAACATATCTAATAGCATTAACCCCAGGCTGTGTGCCTTTTTCTTTTGAAGGACGTAATTTTAGAAACTTTTCTGAGTTAAATAAATGTTTCACAGCATTTTGGTGAGCATACAAAATTTGTTGGCACAAATGCTAAGGGTATGATGATGCAAGCATTTTTGAGATAGCATATTTCAGCACTTTTGCAGCATGTTGCTTTCCTGAGACAATTCAGAGGTTTAAGGTGCCGTTTTCCATGGCTGCTACTTGTTCCGTAGTCTTCTTATAGTCATTTTTATTCTGAGATAGAAAAGAACTGCCTGGGATGCATTTTCGTCTTGCTTTTGAGCACAGTGGTTTCAGCAGTCTTTCTCTATATAATGTTTTAGATTCAGCCAGAATTTATTCCATTTTCAGTCTGTATTGAGTAGTTTTGTTGACATGCACTTTTGTTACTGATGAAGTGCACATCTGCAAATTTCTTACAAAGTGTTTATAAATGTCATTAACATGTTAAGACCACGGAACACATCTTGCATTGTTCATATATCTCATGTATGTCCTTTTTAAATGGCTTCTGAAGGAACTGTATTACCTTCCTTCTAGCTCATACTCATGTTCCTAAAGGTAGACTTGTTAAATAATTTCAGCCTCTCTGACATCAGAGTAGATATTTGTTTCTTTTACAAGAAGGTCGCCTGCCCAAGTGTCATGTCTTTAGACTATGTAGCTCCATGTTAGGCAGCACTTGATTCTGTATTCTAAAATATATGGGTTCTGACTGATAAATTAAACAGCAGGGAATCTCCCATCAAGGTCAGTTGGTCAGTCAGTCTATTATATTCCTATCCTGACTTATATCATGAGATCTCAGGAAAACACCAAGAACAGAACAAAAATGTGAATAGCTTAAAACAAAATTGTTTACAATTAAAAATTTAAAACAGTTTAAAACCATTTGAAACAATTGAATCACACATATTATAGACAACTTAACAAAATATTCAAGCCATGGTTCTTATACTCCAAGAACCGTGTGTTAACTTGGCACCAAAATGAAACCAATATTGATGTAGCTTAAGCTTCCAGGGAGAGAATACCACAGCCAATGTAGCAGAATAAAAAAAGGCCTTCTCCTGCATCTCCACATAGTGTATTGTTGTCAGTGGTAGCAGGAAGAGAGTCTTCCAAGTATATCTTAGTAGTGCAGCAAATATGTACAGGGAGAGTATTTCACAAGTACCTAGGTTTGAAGCTGGTTAATACCAATGTTAAGAGCTTTTTAATTATTCCCTACAGTAGAATATTAGTTCTGCCATTATGGATCCAGTAAACGGAAGGGGACAATTTCCCGTCTGCTTATGTGATGGAATTGTGAATTAAACATAGGAACAACATATGATGTGAGCTTTAGGAACTGCTAAGACCGTTGGTATCAATGCTTTCTGTGTCCTGTCCCTCAGAGTGCTAAGAGCTGAATAATGACAAAGAAGTGCCACAATCCTTGGGACAAAATATGCATGTTGAGGTCCTTCCACTTAAATATATTGTGAAGTACTTTCTAGTAGGGCTAGACCATTTTATCAATCAATTTGGGGTGGTTAATAACCATTCCATACCAGCTTCATCTGTTTGTCATCTTTCTGAAGCTATGGTGGGGAATCTGGAATTCATTGGCCAAAAAACCCAACTTCTTAGCTATTAAAGCACATGAGAGGGTTCTTTTAGTTTAAAAATCCCTTTTTTTAAAAAGGAAGGAAAAATATTTTGGATGTGGGTAGGTAGGAATGGGTGCAAGCCTTCAAAGTCCCTTGACGGTGGAAGTTGCCCTCTCCAGTTCTGAAATACATTTCTTTCTGGCTGTGGGCAGTTTTGAACAAAATGCTTAAAACTCACATATACTGTATGTTTTAGAAGCAGAAGTGCCACTTGTAGGGCTCACAACAGTACAGTCTTATGCACAATTTATTCAATGTAAAGTACAGTTTATTAAATTCCCCTCTGAATTTATCTTTGAAGTGATGAAAATGATGTCACTTAAATTTAACTTGTGTTTTTAAAGCTTTTCTGCAGCTGGAGAAAAAGGAACAACAGACATTGGCCTTGGATCAATCCCCTATAAGCTCAAGGAAAAACTATTCTTTCACAAATGAGGAAGTGCGACAGATTGATCGGGAAAACCAAAGGCTCTTAAAAGAATTAACAAAACACTCTACAAAGCCCAGAAGCAAAAGTGCCTCACTGAAGAAGCCTTCAGGGCCAGCACCAAAAATGTACCACAGTGCCATCAACAGGCAGAGGGAACAGCAAAGGATTGACAGAGAGAATCTGGTTAGTTGAAATTCTTGGCACAGTATACATGCTTTGTATCACCTATTGGGCAGTGGTCACAGCCTTGAGCCATTAAAAATATAAATTGCAGCAACAAAATGATGGCTGGAGAGAACAGAATAAAAATCAGGGTAAAATTGATTTAATAATAAAAAATTGTGCATATACAACATTTTCCCCTGATACTGCTAGTGGCAGGGAAAAACAAATCTTTCAGAATCAGTAGAGAATAGAATAATGAAAACAATCTTTCTCAGTTTAAAAAAATTAATATGTATATGCATGTGATTAGCATTGTATGCAGCTGAAAAAAGTCATATATCTGTTCCTTAGCTGGTGGGTCTCGTGTATAGGATTTTCTTGAAAAACTAAAAAGTTAAAATTTTTCTGAGTCTTATGTAAGACATAAATGAACAGTTCTTAAATTGGCAGTATTTACAAATGATCTTTTAAACCATCCAACATATTCCCACTGAGTTTGCTGTACAGCTACAATCTAGTTTATCAAGTTAAGCCTCACCAATTTCAAATGAATTTAATTACAATCATCTGCCTCTAACCTGTGTCCAATATATATGGGAGGACACCATATATTACTAATGGAACATTTACTTGGCTCAGGAAATTTTGCCAAATCAAGACACATCAAAACATTTATTGTAAGGAATTGATCTAAAATTAAGTGTCCTGTTGCTCATGTTTTAGCATCTTTGTTACATTTTGTAATGTAGATACAGATGTTTATATTGGAAAGACATGCTGTTAGTAGCAAGCAAGAGAACTGATGTGCAATCTAGAGAACATGTTATTATGTCTGTAACACACAAAAAATACAGCCCACTACAAAAAGTGGAAATGATAGAGATTATAGCCAGCAGTCAGTTTCATTATCTCTGACTTTTGCTTGTTCTGTTACTGTTGGACCATTATGGTAACCATAGTAACACATCTTGAGGCAGGTAGAAATGCACTGTTCATGTAATAGGCCTTTGCCTAGAGGTGGTTAAATAGTAATGTAATTGAATTCTTACCTGCAGGAAAACAGAGTTTGAATTATGGTCCATCTACTTACATAAGAACTCAGATTCTTGATAAGTAGCCTAAAAATGCAGTTAGTTATATAATCGCAAAATAAGTAGCTCAGGAGTATGTATGTGCTGCTTTTTTCCTTTCATCTTCCTAAATGGTACAGCCCCCTGTATCCACAATACACTTGCAGCCTTTCTTTTCACAATAGCCCTCCTGCAAACTATCCCATCCTTGTCATCTTCCAGCTACAGTATTTGTATTCTTCTGACGTGCAACAATAAGAAATGCATGCAAAAATAGTACATGTATGGACTTACTGTGGACTGATACCTTGACACTGTCCCAGTTTAAGCAATCAAATCCTGGCTTTCTATGCCAGCACATATTTCTTGCATGGTTAATTTTTTTAAAATTAATAGCATGACCAGCTCTTCATTCATTGCTCATTGAAATACCCTTTACTTAGGTCATCCCTTATGTATGCATTTCCACTGGATCACAAACAGACCTTGGAAAAATTATTTTCCACTAGCCATGTTAGCTGGAAAGTTCTGTAAGTTCTAGTTCCTAGTGGTGGGGGACTTTCCAAGCTATGGTAATTAACAGGTGCTTCAGTTCACCACACATGGGGGTCTTATCTAAAAAGTATTAATCAAACTGTTTTCCCATGCATTGTTAGATTCATTATTCTTATGAATACAACATGCCTTACATCCATGAGTTTTTTCTAGCTCATCATAAGCTGTTTTCCTGCCATCGTTTTTCAAGCCATTTGCTGCTTATTGACTAAAATGTGTTTGTTTGTTTTGGGGGGGAAATTAACCAAGGCTTTTTTGAAGAGACTTGAAGCAGTGAAGCCATCAGCTGGTATGAGGCGGTCAGAACAGCTCATGGACTATCAGCGGCAGATGAGCTACCTTAATGCATCTCCAACTCCAAGGCGAGGAAAGTCTGCTTTAAGCCACCACAGCCCTTCCCGTAAGTAGCTCTAAGACACTGGCTATATCCTTTGTGTTGAATACTTGTGAATAATGTTTGCAAAGTCATATATCCGCCCAAAGACCTTTATTTAACTCATATGGGTGGCATATAAGTTAAATAACTTATATGGGTGGCATATAAATTAAATAAATAAATATCCTGCAAGTCTCTTTTCCCTAGTCTCAGCATCATTCATGGGGTAGGTATGGGGGTCAAGATTGGATTTCTACATCCCAGTATTTAGACTTGCATGCAACTTCTGTTGACATACTAGTTTAATAAAGGAGATAAACCTCATGGCCAGGTGAGCTTCAAAGGAGGTTTATAAATAGTCCTTGTAGGGATGTGCCATTTGGGTTTTGTTTTTTCAAATCCAACTCCTGGAATTCTCCAACAATTCCCTGGGCAGGATTCTGGGACTTCCAGCCTATAGACACACACACCTACGGACACTTGTATTTTGCTCACCTGGAGATGAGCCTAACTTGAAGGCTGCATGGCTGCCTTGGGCCTGTACAACTTGTTAATGTGCGAAAAGAAGGCTGTCAGGGTGCTTTCTGAGAGTTGTAGTGCCCTCTATAGAGCTGAAAGGGCAGCAAGACTAAAATTCCCAGAAATAACTACATCAGCTTCCTTTTTGTATATTTGTGAGGCTCCCAAGATGGAGGCCATGATAGGAGTGCCGTCGCTCCCAAAGAGCACCCATCACACACAGACATCTCCCCCGCCATCCCCACCGCGACGGGAAGAGAAAGGCGTGGAGACCCCTGATTGGGGGAAGGAAAGCGTCGGATCCCTTACCCTGAATAAGGGGGTAGACACCCATGATTTGGAGGAGGTCATGAAAGAGTTAAGAATCACCCGGGAACCGGGACGAGTTCGGGCGGGAAACCGAGGGGAGGAGATTGAGGCTGGGGTAGGAGATATAAGGGGAAAACCGAGGGATATTCCGGGTGGTTGGGAATGGGTGTGGATGGAGGACCCCTGGACCCAGGAGAAAGCTTCGCGAGGAAAGAGAAGTCGTTGCCCGGGAACTGGAAAGAAAGAAACAATGGCATATCGCCGAGCTGAGGAAACTGGGGGGTTACCCGGCCCCTGGGGTACAGATGGAGGAGAGGGATCCTCCTGGGATGGCTGGAGCGGCGATGAAGAGACATTACCTTTAATTTCTTTAGAAGAAGCTTTGGACCCTGGGCTGGGATCTGTGCCACCTACAACAGGTCCCTGGAACCCAGAGACGACGAACCCATTTGTAAATAGTTTATGGACACCGTTGAAACCAAGTCATGTTTTACAAGAATCCCTGAACCCCTTTGTAGGGGGAAATCCGGTTGGAGTTAATATGGAAATAAACACAGAACCTTTTGATCTACCTCCACTGCCTCGTCCATTTATTGGGGAGAAAACAGCCCTTCCAAACGAACCCTCACATATTGGCGCCCAACGCGGGGGGCTGTCAACACCTCCAAAGGAGATGGACGGTTGGATGAGGCAAATAACGGAAGGACAAGAAGCGCTGATGCGACAACTGGCAGACCAGCAGAAGCTAATCATAGAACAACTAAACAGAACACAAATAGGGCTGACCACCAAATCAACCACAGTGGAAGGAAGAGGGACCATTGCACATCGCCCACCCATCAAACTACAAAAGATGGGACCCCAAGATGACCCGGCCGCATTCTTAAACACATTCGAAAGAGTGGCGGTGTCGGCACAATGGCCAAAAGAACAGTGGGCCCTTATTGTAACCCCATACCTGACGGGACTACCCCAAGAGTTAGTGGACACGTTAGACCCGGAGGACGCGGGGGACTATGAAAAGGTGAAAACAGCCCTTCCAAACGAACCCTCACAATATTAAGAGTAGATGGTATAGGCCTGAGACAGCCATGCAGACTTCAAGGTTGGTCCTTCTCCAAGTGAGCAAAATGTAGTTATAGTGTAGTTGTAGATTTAATTCTGGGAGTTGGAGTCCCCAAAAAAGTGAATGACAGATCCCTGTCTTGCTTTGAGATATACTAATTCTAGTGAACCAAATATGTTGGACAGTGACCACCAAAGGCCAGCTTCTCAGCTGATGTTGAAGTGCCGTGAGTCTGTCCCAGACCCCCCACACACACACACACACCTTTGGATCACCCTCCACAGAGGACACAATCACATTGCCTGGTGTCAAAGACAAGTCTTTTACAGTGGTGCCTCGCTTTAAAATGTCAATTCATTCCAGCGAAATCACTGTAGAGTGAAAACGTGGTAAAGCGAAAATAAAAAACCCCATTGAAACTCATTAAAAACTCATTAAAACCCGGTTAATGCATTCCAGTGGGCTAAAAACTCACCGTCCAGCAAAGATCCTCCATACGGTGGGCATTTTCGGTGCCTGTATAGCGAGGAATCCGTCCTTAAGCACAGCGGAGAGCCATCTTGAGCACCCGGCGGCCATTTTGAAAACCCAACGATAGCTGTTTTGATCGTCGTAATGCGGAGAAGAATGGGTTCCCGAAGCAGGGAACCGATCTTCGCAAAGCGAAAAAACCCCATTTAAAACATCATTTTGCGATCGATAGACCCAACCCCCAAATGGCTCCCATGCCTTCTTGCTTGGGGCTGGTCTCAGTCTTGGCCAGAAGGGACTTACCCCACAGGAACTCCCAGGTTGCCCGATACATTGCCTGTTTTCTCAGTTATGGGCTCTCTCTCTCCCCACTTTCTCCTTTCTGTGTTTTCTTTCTCCTCTTTGTCTCCAGTACAGAAGTTTTCTATACATCTGTTTTTCCCGCTCCCTTTCACTTTCTTCTCTTGGAACATTAAACTGGACCTATTGACCAGTCTTTCACTATTTCTACCCAGCCTTCTTCACTTTTATCCTTCACTCTCCTCTCCCCAACAGTATTCACCTTCAACCTCCGACTGTAATTGCCCTCCTTTTTCCTTTATACCTCCCTCCCTTCCTGCCAAAACAGCTCCCCCATTGCCAGTTCTTTTCCTGGGTTTTTTGCTTTCTTTCCTTCAAAGTCCACTCCTCCATCTCCCTCCAAGACCCCGGTTAGTGTGCCAGTGGTACATTCCTTGGGCTCAGACAGCACCTCCTGCTTTCAATGGCACTAAACAGTTAGGGCACTTGTTAAGGCACTTACAAATGTCTTAACTGTTTCTTTCATTATCCCCTTTCAGGGAAAGTACACATGCTCCCATTGAGATCTTTTCTATCAATTTAAGTATTTGGGAATATTTGTGAACCAGATTTCAGATCTGTTGCTGATGTTCTTTTGTGTACCCTTCCTGACAGGTGGTACTTCACGAGCATCTAGTCACAGTGCATCCAGTACAGGGAGTCGAAGGAGTGAAAGACCTGTTTTTGACTCATCCAGTGGTGCTCTGCAGCGGTTGAACCCAAGTAATATTCGTGGTGCCTGGCTATAAATTGCACTGAACCACCAGATTTATAATTCTCATCTTTTTGTGGATTGCTGTACTTTTGTGCAAAAGTTATTGTAATATTCACTGTTCGTGATTAAAGGACACTGGAAAGTGGTAATAAGTATAAATGGATACAACATCAGGTGTTTTGTTTCTTTTGGGGGATTCTCAGCAGCAAAATTTCTGTGATATCTTCCAGGTCAGTATTTCCCCTTAAATATCTTCGTATAAGAAAAATGTTGCCACTGTAAATCTCATATTTCATCAAAGCTCAAATTAAGTTGAGACTTGTAAGTAGAGGGTTGAATTGCCAAAGTTTGGGACCAGAAGGAAAAACACTTGCTTTTCATTTTGAATTTTGCAATAAAGTTTTGTACCTGATTTAAGTCCTAATTTTTGCTTTCTTGCAATGTCGCTGTGGTATTTTAAAATTAGCATATTATATTTTCATGATAAAATCTTATGGAACTGCAAGAGAGAATATGCTGTGCAATTCAATTGTTGCATAGTGATGAATCTTGAAATTATTACATGATCATCTGCAGGTTGGAGAACATGAACTGAGTCTGTGCAAATGAACTTGTGCTGTGCGTGTTCTGTCTGTGCATTGCAGGAGTGATTTTTGATCAGCTCTCTGTGCTTAACACTGGGAAGTCTGCAAATACTTAATTTCACTTGTGTATATAACCAGTGTGCATTGTGTTTTATCATCATTTCCTCTAATAATTTGCTAATCTATTTTGATTTCAGAGAGCATTGCTGTGTATGGTTTAAACTCAGATCTTTGCTAATTTTAATGTATTAAGCAGTAAACAAATAGTGTGGAGAAGATTGGTCTCTCTCGGCTTGAGCTGTTGTTTTGAACTTGTGATGTGATCTTTGAATAGCTCTGCCTGTGTAATATATTTGCACAGCTATGTTAAGGGAATTGCTCTTTAAAGTTGTATTATTTTTTGAATGAAGAACAAGTGAACAGCAATCTTATGGATGCACTTTTTAATTTTGAGCACTTTGAAATTTTCATGTGACAGCTTTTTTCTCTTTTGTTTAAAACACAGTGTGCTAGTTTTAAATAGTGCCATTGTAAAATTGTACTTGGCTGGTTATGGAAGATACAAAATTTGTATATCATTCGTTAAAACTAAATAAAACAGTTGAATTATATCTGTGTTCAGCACTGAATTTCCTCTCTTTTTTAAGCAATTCTGTCTATTAGAAGCAGAATTAAATACAGTGGTACCTCGCAAGATGACGACCCCGCTAAACGACGAATCCGCATAATGATGACTTTTTGTGATCGCTATAGCGATTCGCAAAACAGTCATTCCAATGGGGGATTTTCGCTGGATGTCTATTAGGTCCATGCTTCGTGAACCGTTTGTTTGCAAGATGACAATTTTTTCCGCTGATCGCCCACTTCACAAAATGGCTGCCCTGTGTTTTCTGGGCCCATGCTTCACAGGGCAGCCATTTTTACAGCTGATCGGCGCTTGCAAAATGTCTTCCCTATGGGTGATCTTCGCTGGACAACGAGGTATTTTCCCTATTGGAACGCACTAAACCAGGTTTCAATGCATTCCAGTGGGGAAAGGGTTTTCGCATGACGACGATTTTGCTAAACAGCGATTTCAGTGGGACGGATTATCGTCGCCATGCGGGGCACCACTGTATATTGGGATCTTACATTTAATAAGCCAGTAACACAAATAAATTCAGTTTCTGTTTCCTGTTAAATTTCTGTCTGTAGCCTATTCCAGAATTACCTATAAACCCCCCATCATTCCTGTATACAGGAAGAAATGTTTCTTCCTTGAACATTTATTCTTCAGAGTGTATGTGTTATTCTTACTTCTTGTTTGTTGGAGTACATTCTTTTGGTATCAAAAGGAGGGTCACTTGACACACTACAAAGCAGTGATTACACTTTTACTACAGTAGGTCTGTGTTGTAGGACAACATAACTCATCACAGGTCTACCTACCTTCACAATGTAACTCCAGCGGGATGGATGCATTTATTGTGCACATGCAAGCATCTTTTTGTAGTGCATAATAAAATATTTGTTTTTTTAACAAATACATACAATGTACAAAGAGGCCATGGTTTGCTATAGTGATCATGATATGTGAATTATGAGCATTACAGAAGAGTTTATGTATGCCAAATGGTTCAAGAACACACAACTATAGGTTAAAACATGGACAGATTGCATAGAGCAGGTTTGCAAAAGTAAGTAATACTGGTTTCATGGCTCAAAATAGCTAGTTTAGCATTCTGTCTTAGCAGCTGGTTCTATGTTTCATGTGAAGGAAACACATAAGACTAATTGTAATGACTAGGGATAAGCCTTTCATGTTTAAACAAAAGACCTGAAACACAAATAGGCATATGTTGTCCAGAAACTGCTGTGTTGGACATCTAACCTCATCAGTTAGATGCAATTAGCCACATAGAAATACAAATATGTAAACACCAGTAAGGGATCTGGTCAACAATGCTTATTTAGAAAATTGGTATGGGTAATAACATGCTATGACACAAACAAATCTTACAAACAATATAAGCCAAAAGTACAATTAACTGTAGTTTTGGAGGCAGTAGCTGTGTTAGTCTATGCAAATATATCAGACAAAAGACGCAAGCAATATTAAAATAAAAACATCGTGACATCTTAAAATCCAACTGCTATATTTTAATGTGAGATTTAGTGGATCCATGAAAACTCACATAAAAATATAGCAGTTAGTCTTAAAAGTGCCACAGCATTATTGTCTAGAGTTTTTTAAATTTTGGGTTTGGGGGTTTTGTCTGATGTTCTTTTAACTGCAACCAATGTGAATGTAATTGTGAAATTGGTATAGTCCAAACATCTAAATAAGGAGCTCTATTTCTCTGTGAGTGGAAATGGGGACTGGAGTGGAGAAGAGTGAAAAGACCAGTGTCAAGAAAGCTTTGGCTTGAGCAAATAGAGGGAAGGAGGGGGCACTAGACTTTAGGTGAAATTAATGGGTTTCTAAATTGGACATAGCCAGATACAGTACATTGACTCCTCATTGATTTTAGTTAGACATGGGGATCAATAAAAAATGAACCATGATATTTGTCAGAAATCACTGATTCCTGTAATTGTCATTTTTTATTTGTCAATTCCAGAGGCCTTGGCGAATAGGAAGTAATGCATATTTACCCTTTTTATTCATCCCTTTGTTGGGCCTGGGGCCCAAAGAGCAGACTAGGCTGCCAGAACTGCTATTCCAGCAGTTTAATTTGCTCTTTCTGTTTATGGGCCTGCTGAACAGGTGTTTGGTGGGCCCACACTCTTTGCCCCCACAGCCTGCCCTCCCTTCCTACTGCCCCCATCACCTCTCTACCTTGTCATGTCATCCCCGTCTCTGACATTTGTTTTCACAGCATAGTAATACCTACTCCTATACTATGCGCCCCATCTTTAATATGTATTACTTTCCTTTGTAGACCACTCTTATTTTTCAGAGTAGCATACACATGGGTCATTGACAGCTTTCCATTCAAAATAACTTAGAGATCAGGTCACTTTATCTCCAGAAACAGAACAGTGCTGTATTGTTTCAGATCTTCCGTAGTCTATGCTATATAGGTAAAGGTAAAGGTAAAGGTTCCCCTTGACAATTTTTGTCCAGTCGTGTCCGACTCTAGGGGGCGGTGCTCATCCCGCTCTTCAAGCCATAGAGCCAGAGTTTGTCCGAAGACAATCTTTCCGTGGTCACATGGCCAGTGTGATTTAGACACGGAACGCTGTTTACCTTCCCACCGAGATGGTACCTATTTATCTACTCGCATTTGCATGCTTTCGAACCGCTAGGTTGGCGGGAGCTGGGACAAGCAACGGGCGCTCACTCCGTCGCGTGGATTCGATCTTACGACTGCTTGGTCTTCTGACCCTGCAGCACAGGCTTCTGCAGTTTAGCCCACAGCGCCACCACTTATAGTGCTATATAGTGATTGCAAAACACACAATGATCTTAAACTGATCTCAGAAAGTTACTCAGAAAACAAATGTACACTATTCAATGACCTGCTGAAGTTTTCTTTTAATTGAGAAATCTTAGGACTCCTGGATCCAAGAGCATAATCTTATTGCTCAGTTGTGTTTGGTTTTAATAGGACATTATATCAATTCTTTTTAAAAGTGACTTTCCAAGCTTGGGTCTTAGAATAGAGATGGAAATCTCTGACCCTTGAGATATTACGGATTTAACTTCCCAGGTACCATAACTGGCATAGCCAAATTCTAAAACCTCATTGAATTGCTCACAGAGATACAGCCCCGCTTGCTAACTAGTGGAGGGATGAAAACAGGTGGCCTTACAGATGCTATTGGATGGCAGTCCTTACCTCACCCCTCTTACCACTGGAGGTGTTGCCTAGGCCAGTAATGGCTAACCTTTTTGCGTACGAGTGCCCAAATTGGGAAAAACAAACAAACCAGCGGGCGGAAGTGGCAGCGGAAGGGGGAAACCTGGCATGGATGTGCCTCCAGATCCCACTCTGGATCTGCCTCCAACTGTGCCCAACCTCTGCCAGCACCAGCTGCTCTGGATCCTGGCCCGCTGCCTGTTGGGGCGCTAGCACTGCGGCTGCAGGCACCACCTCAGATTTGGCTGCCGGGGGTAGCAATCTGGTGACCTATGGCTCGCGAACCCACAGAAAGGGCTCTGCATGCCAGCTGTGGCACATGGGCCATAGGTTCACTATCACTGGCTTATGCTGATGGGAGTTCCTATTCAAGAACATCTAGCAGGCCATGCATTTTCCCTCCGTACTAGCAGCTTCTGTACTGTGTGTTCTTTATTATTACTAACTAGAATCTAACAGCTGGCCCAAGGCATGGATGATTAACCCTCATGCAATGCTGAGGGACATTTTGGTCCCCCAGGTACATGTTTATTTTGCAGAATATTCAAAGAAGTGAACTTAAAATGCAGATAATTGCATAGCATTGTCACATGTACAGTAGTAAACAATGTCGTCTAGTATCAGCTACTTGCCACATATGATTTTTCCTGTAATGTTTATTGTTTTTTCCTTTGGAAAAGTCCCATCTGATATAACATATCTGGTATTTAAAAATGCCCTATGCTGTTTTTCAGAAAATAGTCAGGAAGAAGTGACCTCTTCTCATTATTTCAGTAGGTTGGCTCCGTTCAGGAAGAATTAATGTGTCTTTTATTGGAATTCATTGGGGTTAGGAAATATCTCATAGTACAAGAAGTGCACCTTTTATTTTATTTTATCTGATTTTATTTTACTTTTACTTCTACTTTGGCTGAAATTATGTGGTTTCAGGTAGTAAGTAGCACTAGAAAAGGCCCATTGAATCAGTGGGATTTGGTTAGTCAACTTTTTCATAAGTTCCACTGATTCAAATGAGCCTATTCTAGCTGCAACTTACTTCAGTAAGTGTTTTTCTGACTTTGGTACTTGCCTGAAACACACATGTTTCAAAACAGTTATTTGGAGAATGGGCAGTTTTTCATATCCTGCAATATACTGGCATTCTCACTGATGCCAGAATATATGGCACAATCTACACAGTGCAAATGTTTGAAGGTTAGAGTCCACTGACTTTGATGAGCAAATTAAATGTGTGGCAAGGTTATCAAAAACAGTACAAGTTTCACAGGTGCTTTTCTCTGACATAATTATGCATGATAAAAAAGTTTTGCAAAGGTGAGAGACACATTCTTTCATAAAGGATAGGTTGTTGCTCTGAAATGTTTTTCCCCTTCAGCTAGTAATGTCCACATTCCTAATTAGCAAAGAGCCTTTGTAATGGGAAATCAGGGAAGGATTGCAAGAAACTAGGACAGCTGAAAGCTGTGCAGCAGCATAATAGCTCATCATAATTTGCACATTTCTTCGTTTGGAGTTTTTGCTAAATTATGCTGTACATTGCTTGATGTCAAAATGACTCAGAAAACACCTGATTTAGCAAGCTTCTTTTGCAGCAGTCTTCAATCACTGCCTAAGCCCAAAGTTAACAAACACCTTGATTATGTATCAAAGAGACCATTTCTTGATGATGATCAGGCTTCAGAGATGAAAATACAGTAGATTAAAATCTCGATATCTTTATTGTTATGAAGTATCCAATGTCAAACAGCAAATAAGAATATTTGGAGCTT